TACACAAGGCTCCGCATTGGAACGAGGGGGGGCACGCACAGCCCATAGGGACACGGGTGACCCCCCTGCACCGCAGCGGGGCCCGGACCCAGCCCCACGGGGGGGTCACGCACGCACAGACCCGCAGGGAAGAGGGAGGGGGGCACACACGATGTGTCCCGGCGCTGCAGTGACCCCCCCGCACCCCCAACTGCAAAGCCCCCATTGCAAAGACCACCCCCATACCCCAGACCCCCCCCCATGGTCCCATAGCGCTGCCCCCCCCATAGCCCAGACCCCCCCATGGCCCCCTATGGTACGGCCCCCCCCGTACCTGGCCGCTGCCCGCCCCGCGCGCGCGCCGCCGCCCCTCCTCCATCTTTGCCGCGCGGCCCCGCCCGCCCCGACAACAACATTCGGTGACGTCACTCGCCGTCACGTGACGGGGCCCGCGCGCTAAAAATAGACACGCGCGCACAAGAGCCCCCCCCCACCCCCCGAAAACACGGCCCCGGCACGTGACCGAGTGTGCAATGGCACGTGACCAGGTGTGAGTGTACAATGGCACACTATTGAGTGTGTGCACTGACACGTGTGTGAGTGTGCAATGGGCTGGTGTGCAAACACGTGAGAGCATGTGTGTGAGTGTGCACTGACACGTGTGTGTGTGAGTGTGCAATGGGCTGGTGTGCAAACATGTGAGAACATGTGTGTGAGTGTGCACTGATACATGTGTGTGAGTGTGCAATGGGCTGGTGTGCAAGCGTGTGAGAGTATGTGTGTGAGTGTGCACTGATACGTGTGTGTGTGAGTGTGCAATGGGCTGGTGTGCAAACATGTGACAGCATGTGTGTGAGTGTGCACTGACACGTGTGTGTGTGTGTGAGTGTGCAATGGGCTGGTGTGCAAGCATGTGAGAGTATGTGTGTGAGTGTGCACTGACACGTGTGTGTGTGTGTGAGTGTGCAATGGGCTGGTGTGCAAGCATGTGAGAGTATGTGTGTGAGTGTGCACTGGCACGTGTGTGTGAGTGTGCAATGGGCTGGTGTGCAAACATGTGAGAACATGTGTGTGAGTGTGCACTGACACGTGTGTGAGTGTGCAATGGGCTGGTGTGCAAACACATGAGAGCATGTGTGTGTGCACTGACACATGTATGTGAGTGTGCACTGACACGTGTGTGTGTGAGTGTGCCCTGTGTGCTGCTGCACACTCACACACATGGGAGTGTGTACCGTACACACACGAGAGTGCAGGTGAGTGTGCCTCAAGGACTGGTGTGCAATGGCACATGCATGTGTGTGACTGTGCACTAAGTGCTCTGTGCAATGACACACCTGTGAGTGTGCAATGACACGTACAAGTGTGCACTAAGTGCTGCTGTGCACTAGTGCACATGTGAGAGCACATGTGAGTGTGCCCTGTGTGCTCCTGTGCATTAACACACGTGTGCGTGTGCACCATGGGTGTGTGCACGTGTGCCCGACTGGTGTGCAGCTGCACACGCGTGTGCACTCACACAGTCCTGCTCACACTCACACTCACTCACACACACAGTCACACTCTCACGCTCACACTCACACTCACACAGTCACAGTCATGCTCACACTCAAGAGTCACACTCAGTCACAATCACATCACACACATCCACACACATCCACACTCACACACACATTCACACAGTCACACGCAGTCACACACACACAGTCACGCTCAGTTACAGTCACACACAGTCACACGCAGTCTCACACACGCACACTGTCACACTCGCACACTGTCACTCTCACACTCACACACACTGTCACACAAAGGCTCACACACACTCACACTCACACACACACATTCACTCACACTCACACACACAGTCACACTCGCACTCACACACACTGTCACACTCACACTCAGACACACTGTCACACTCACACACACTGTCTCACACACACACTGTCACACACACACTCACACACACAGTCACATACTCACACACACAGAGTCACACTCACACACAGTCACACTCACACTCACACACACAGTCACACACTCACACACTCACACTTACACACACTGTCACACTCACTCACACACTGTCACACTCGCACTCATTCACACACACTGTCACACTCACACACACACATACACACACACACACACTGTCACACTCACTCACACACACTCCACGCTCGCTCCCCCTCACGCCAGGGCCGGACGCGGGGCTCTGGCCCTTTAAGAGGCGGGGCCGCGCTCCTCCCACCGGCAGGGGCCGCTGGTCCTTAAAGGGGCCGTTCCCGCCGCTCCCCCTGCCCTGGGGCCGCGGGTTCGCGTCCCGTCCCGGTCACTTCCGCTTTCCTTCCGTGCTGCTGCCATGGTAACGGGAATGGGAATGGGGCCCGGGGGTGGCTCATGGCGCTTTAGGGTCCCCGTGGGGTGCCCTCGGCCTCGGGGTGGGTCCGGGCTCCGCTGAGGGGGCGAGGGGGCTGCGGACGGGAGCAGGGCCCCGCTGGGCCGGGTGCTCCCGGGTCCCTCAGGGCCCGGTTCTCGCCTCCCGCAGGCCGGCCGGCTCCAGAGGCTGTTCGGGACAGAGGGGGACCTGGAGGATGAGGTGAGGGGGCACGTGGGACACCGGGCACGGGTTGGGGTACGGGGTGGGGGGTATGGGTGATGGACGTCAGGTATGGGATGTGAGACGTGGAATGTGGGATATGGGATGTGGGATATGGGATGTGGGATATGGGGTACGGGACGTTAGGTATGGGACGTGAGACATGCAATGTGGAATATGGGATGTGGGATGCAGGGCATGGGATGTAGGATATGGGTTATGGGTTGTTGGGTATGGAGATGTGGGGCATGGAATGTGGAATATGGGAAGTAGAACATGGGATGTGGGATGCAGGACGTGGGATGTAGGATATGTGTTACGGGGTTTTGGATATGGGATGTGGGGCATGGAATATTGGATATGGGAGGTGGGGCATGGGACATGAGGCATGGAATGTGGCATATGGGATGTGAGATGTATGCCATGGGACGGAGCATATGGATTACAGGACATTGGATATGGGTTGTGGGACATGGGATGTAGGATGTGGGGTATGGGACGTGTGATGTAGGATATGGGTCACGGGTCTTTGGACGTGGGACATGCGATGTGGGATGTGGGGCTTGGGACATTGGCTGTGGGATGCGGGATGCAGGACATGGGATGGTGGACAGGGGATGTGGGATGCAGGACAGGGGATGTGGCATGCGGGACATAGGACATGTGGTGCGGGACATGGGACACGGGATGCAGGACACGGGATGCAGGATGCGGGACATGGGATGCGGGACGGTATGTGGAATGCAGCATGCGGGACATGGGATGCGGGATGCAGGACATGGGATGCAGGACACGGGATGTGGGATGCAGGACACGGGATGTGGGATGCAGGACAGGGGATGTGGGATGTGGGACACGGGACGTGGGACATGGGATGTGGGATGCGGGACACGGGATGCAGGATGTGGGACATGGGATGTGGGATGCAGGACACGGGACGTGGGATGCAGGACATGGGATGTAGGATGCAGGACATGGGATGCGGGACATGGGATGCGGGATATGGGATGTGGGATGCAGGACATGGGATGTGGGATGCAGGACACGGGATGCAGGATGCGGGACATGGGATGCGGGATGCGGGACATGGGATATGTGATGCAGGACACGGGATGCAGGATGCGGGACATGGGATGCGGGATGCGGGACATGGGATGCGGGATGCAGGACACGGGATGCAGGACACGGGATGTGGGATGTGGGACATGGGATGTGGGATGCAGGATGCGGGATGCAGGACATGGGACGTGGGATGCAGGACACAGGATGCGGGACGCGGGACGCGGTGCTCATCGCGGGCAGCCCCGGCCTGGCCCGCGCCGGGCCCGGGGTGTTTTGTGCCGCTGGGTGCTGGAGCCCTCCCCTCCCGCAGGATTTCCTCTCGGCCGTGGAGGACGCCGAGAACCGGTTCCTGCCTCCCGGAGCCGCACCCCCGGGCCCCGGCACCCCCGGAGCTCCGCCCCTGCAGCACCGCCCCTGCCCCGCGCTGCGGCCCCTGCCCGGGGGCTGCCGGAGCCCCCCGGGCCCCGAGCGCGGGGAGCGGCCCCCGCGGGGATCGGGGGCTCCCAAGAGGCCGCGGGAGGGAGCGGGGCCGGGCCCCCCCCCGGCAGCGCCCAGGCTGGGGCTGCGGCCCAGTGCGGCCGGGCCCTGCCCCATCCCGATGGGAGAGCCCCGGAGCTGCATCCCCGCACCCAGGGCTCCATCCCCGAGGCCTTTCCAAGCCCCCCCGCGCCAGGCGGGAGCAGGGAGCCCCTCCGTGGAGCCACGGGGGCCGCAGCCCCCCCAGCGCCCCCCCTGCCCCTCGGCGCTGCAGAGCCCGGTGGTCACCAACCACCTGGTGCAGTTGGTGACAGCGGCCAGCAAAGCACCGGGGGCTGCCCCCCGGCCCCCAGCGCAGGGCAAGGCCCGGCGGTTCCCGGGGCCCGCTGGGATCCTGCCCCAGCAGGTGGGTGCGGGGATGCGGGGTGGGGTGGGGTGGGGTGGGATGGAGGAGGGGGTGAAGAGGTGCAGACCCCATCTGCCTCTTCCTGCCTCTCCCATAAGCACACTGGGAAGCTGCTGGAGGAGATCCTCATTTCTGCTCCCCAAACTCCGTGCCACGGGGCCATGGCAAAGCCGCGGACAGAGGTAATCCCCTGCTCCATGGAATCATGGAATGGGTTAGGTTGAAGGGACCTTAAAGCTCATCCAGTCCCGACCCCTTCCACTGGAGCAGCTTGCTCCAAGCCCCTGTGTCCAACCTGGCCTTGAGCACTGCCAGGGATGGGGCAGCCACAGCTTCCCTGGGCACCCTGTGCCATTCCCCTGCTCCGTAGCTCCAGTGCAGATCCATGTCTGAATCCCAGCACTGTGTTCCGGGGGTGATGCCGGGGGGTCCCCAGCGCTCCCCCTGCTGTGAGCGGTTGTGCTGTGACTCCAGGCCGTGCCCAGCTCCTCGCTGCCCACAGAGGAGGATTTCGGGAAGGGGCCCTGGCTCGCCATGAAAACAGAGCTGGAGCTGGATGAGAGGGACCCCGGCTGCTTCCTCCGCACCTACAGCGTGATCATGGTGCTGCGGAAGGTGAGGGAGCCCCCTGCTCCCCGCTGGAGCTGTGGGGCGGTGCTGGGCTGGTCCTGTGGCCCTATGGGGACATCGGTGCGACACGAGGGTCTCCGCAGGCAGCCTTGAAGCAGCTCCCCAGGAACAAGGTCCCCAGCATGGCCGTGATGATCAAGACCCTGACCAGGACCAACGGCGATGCCGCTGCTGTGTTCCGGGACGCAACCGGTTCGTGTGGATGTGCCTGGGCTGGGGCTCCTCTTGCCCATTGCTCCCTATGGCTGATGGGTCCCTTCCTGCCCGCAGGGGAGATGCAGGGCACGGTGCATCGCCTGCTGCTGGAGGAGAGACAGAGCGAGCTCCGGCCCGGCTCCGTGCTGCTGCTGAGGCAGGTGGGAGGCAGCAGAGCAGCAGCGAGGGCTTGGGGCTGTGTCTGACCATGGGCACATCCCAGGGACAGGGGATGCTGCAGCCCCGGCTCTGCCCCACGGCTCTCGCCCCACAGGTGGGTGTCTTCTCCCCATCCCACCGCAACCACTACCTCAACGTCACCCCCAGCAACCTGCTCAAGCTCTACCCAGCAGAGCCCGAGGGCAGCTTCTCGCAGCCATCCCCAGCACAGCAGGAGGTGAGGGGGGAGCTGGTGATAACGGGGTGCTGGGACCCGACCCCCCCCTCGCTCTGTGGGTCCCCTATGGTTCTCCTCTCCATTTGGTTTTGCAGGTCCCAGCGCACCCCACGGAGCCCCCCCGGGGTGTCCCTGCCCCTGGGCACCTGGGGGGGCACTCGAGGCCCCCCAGCACAGCGCAGGCAGGGCAGGAGGAGCCAGAGGGAGCTGGAGGCTCTGATGTGGGTGAGTTGGGTGTGGGCTTGGGCAGCGGCTCCCATCCGTGTCCACGGGCACGGAGCGCTCCCTGCTCTGTGCGCTCCATGCTCCTGTGCCTGCAGATGACCTGGACGGGCTCCTGGGGGAGCTCCCGGACGAGTTCTTCTCCGCCCCAGCCCAAGCTGACTGCTGCTGACCCCAGGGGCCGAGCCGGGCCGTGCTGAGGATGCTGAGCAGGCGCTGCCCCTCCTGCTCCTTCCCCTGTGTGTTCCCTATGGAGCCTAACCCCTCATTAAAGGGCTGTTCTATCCCTGCATTGCCCTGTCTCCTGTGCCTGTGTCCCCCCTCCCTGCTGTGCTGCAGCCCCCCCACACTCACCATAGGGGAGGGGGTCCCTCTGCCCGCCATGGCTCCTGCAGCCCCAGCATGTTGGGGGTACCCGGCTCTGCCCCCCCCCCCCCAGCAGGCTCCAGGCGCTGGCAGCGTGCCCCTGTTTACCACCGGGCAGTTATTTATAGGGCTGGCCCAGGCCCTGGCTTCAGCGCTGCTGTGGGGCACGGCCCTATTTATAACCCCCATACCCCGGGGCCACCGGGCCCTGAGTGCCCCCCGGCCTGCCCCATGGCCCAGGACTCCTTCGCCTTCAGCTCCTCGGCGCTGCGGTCGCTGCGGCTGCAACGGGAGCTCCTGGAGCAGGAGGAGCGGCGCCGGGCGCTGGCTCGGGACCGGGCCACGCGCCGGGTCCTGCCCGAGCCCCCGCGGCCCCGGTGCTGCCGGGACCCCGCCGTGCACAACGCCCTGTACAGCGGGGACCTGCAGCGCGTCAAGAGCATCTTCAGCGACGAGAGCAGCGCCAACGTGGTCCTGGAGATGGGCAGCGAGGAGCTGGTGTGGGCGCCGGAGCAGGGTACGGGGCTGGGGGCTATGGGGGCCCTTTCCCTTCCCTCTTGTCTTCTTCCTTCCCCTTCCCTTTCTTATCCTCTTCACCTTCTCTTCCCCCTTCCCTTCTTCCCCCTCTCTTCCCCCTCTCTTCCCCCTCTCTTCCCCCTCTCTTCCCCCTCTCTTCCCCCTCTCTTCCCCCTCTCTTCCCCCTCTCTTCCCCCTCTCTTCCATATTCCCTTTTCCCTCTCTTCCCCCTTCCCCTCTTCCTCCTCTTTTACCCCTTCCCTTCTTCCCCCTTCCCTTCTTCCCTCCCTTCCCCTCTTCCCCCTTCCCTTTTCCCTCTCTTCCCCCTTCCCTTCTTCCTCCTCTCTTCCCCCTTCCCTTCTCTCTCTCTTCCCCCTTCCCTTCTTCCCCCTTCCCTTCTTCCCAGGACCGCTGACTGCTCTAATGTGGGGTGCTGGCTGCCCTGGCACCCCCGTTCTGCTCCCCCCACGATGGGGCTGGAGGCTGTTGTACCCCCCCTCCGCTGTGTGTTCCTCTGACCCGTTCCCCCCGCAGGGCTGTGGGTGCTGAGCCCCCGGCTCCAGCAGACCTCGGCGCTGCGCATCGTGTGCGCCCGGGGCTTCGTGGCCTGCGCCCGGCTGCTGCTGCTGCGCGGGGCCGCGGTGGACGCCGTGGTTGGGGGCCGGGCCCCATTGCACGACAGCGCGGCCGCCCCGGACCCCGCCTGCACCCAACTGCTCCTGGACTTCGGCGCCAACCCCAACGTGCTCAGCGCCGACGGCTGCGCCCCACTGCACCTCTGCACCGCGCCCCACAGCCTGCGGTGAGCCCCGCCCCTGCCCGCCAGCCAATCCGGGGCTCAGCTGCATGACAAGCCCCGCCCTGCCCACACCACATCCTCATTTGCATGCCAGTTCCTCATCCAGGGGTAAGCTCCGCCCCAATAGCAGCCCCCTCCCGGCGTGACTCCGCTCCCTGCCAGCGTGACTCCGCCCCCTGCCAGCGTGACTCCGCCCCCAAGTGGAACGGGGACCCACGCGCTAACAAGCCCCGCCCCTCTAAACTCAGCCACGCCCCCTCCCGGTCCTGCCCCACGGTTGCCCCCATCCCACCCCTCATCCATGGGGCACAGCGGGTACCAGCAGGGTGTCCCCGCACCCCCTGACCCGTGACCCCCCCCGCAGGTGCGCGGAGCTGCTGCTGGCGCATGGGGCGCGCGTGGGGCTGGAGACGCGGGAGCGGCGCTTGACGCCTCTGCACGTGGCGGCGCGGCAGGGGCTGGCGGCGCACGTGGAGCTCTACCTGCACCACGGTGCCGACGCCTCGAGCCGCAGCCGCCAGGGCGAGACCCCGCTGAACGCGGCCTGCGCCGCCGCCGAGCACCGCGACGCCGCCGAGCGCTACGGCCCCGTCTGCGAGCGGCTGCTGGCGGCCGGTGCCGACCCCAGCGCCGCGGGCCGCAAGCACCACGCGCCGCTGCACAACGCCTGCGCCAACGGGCAGGCCTGGCTCGTGCGGCTGCTGCTGCGCCACGGCGCCGACCCCACCGCCGCCAACTGCGCCGGGGACACCCCCTTGGACTGCGCCCTTCGCGCCGTCGAGGAGCACCGGGACCGGCGCCCTGAGGACACCATCGCGCTGCTCCTCGACCATGGCGCCGGCCCCGTCCACCCCAAGGTGGGTGATTGAGAGGTGCTGGGGGTGCCGGTGGCGGCGGGGCCGCATCCCTCACGCTCTGTGCCGCAGATGCTCCGGTTCTGCTGCCGGCACCCGCCCGCGCTGGAGGTTGTGCTCAACGCCTACGACCGCATCCCCCCGGCCGAGGGCTGGGTGGGCGCTGTGCCCCCGGAGCTGTGGGAGGTAAGAGGAGGACAAGGTGGGGGGTCCTGGGTGTCGCTGCCCCCCCCACCTCGCTGCCCCCGTGTCCCCCCTCCAGGAGCACCGGGAGTTCTACACCTCGGCCGTGCGCATGGCGGGGGAGCCCCGGTGCCTGCAGCACCTCGCCCGCTGTGCCCTGCGCCGCAGCCTGGGCCCCCGCTGCCACGACGCCGTCCCCGCGCTGGCGCTGCCGCCTGCCCTGCGCCGCTACCTCCGGCTGCCCCTGCAGGGGCTCATCTCCTGAGGGCACCGGCGCCGGGAGCAGGGGGGGCCCCCCGAGGAACCCCCCATTAACGGGACCCGGGAGGGGGGGGGAATAAAGGACGTGGCTGCACCGTGGGGAGCGGTGGGGGCACGGGGATGGGGGGGGTCCGGTCCGGGGGGGTTTCAGCCCCAGGGGCCCGAGGCCACGCCCCCTGCATGGAGCCCCGCCCACAAACCGCTCTCCGGTGCGTATGGCCCCGCCCACCACAGTGTAGTCACGCCCCCTTCCTCCCGCCCTACCCGATTCGCGCCATCCGCGCGCGCCTGGCCCCGCCCAGTGACGTAGCCCAGGGATGCGGGATGGGATCAGGGATGGGGGACGGGATCAGGGACGTGGGACGGGATCAGGGATGCGGGACGGGATCAGGGATGCGGGATAGGTCCAGTGATGCGGGACGGGATCAGGGAAGCAGGACAGGATCAGGGATGTGGGATAGGTCCAGTGATGCGGGACGGGATCAGGGATGCGGGACGGGATCAGGGATGCGAGACGGGATCAGGGATGCGGGACGGGATCAGGGATGCGGGACGGGGTCAGGGATGCGGGACGGGATCAGGGATGCGAGACGGGATCAGGGATGCGGGACGGGATCAGGGATGCGAGACAGGATCAGGGATGCGGGACGGGATCAGGGATCAACGGGATCAGGGATGCGGGACGGGATCAGGGATGCGGGACGGGATCGGGTGCGGGACGGGATCAGGGATGCGGAGGTCAGGGATCGGCGATAGGGATGCGAGACGGGATGGGATGGGGAGGCAGGATGCGGACGGAAGGGATGCGGGACGGGATCAGGGATGCGGACGGGATCGGGTCGGGACGGATCAGGGATGCGGGACGGGATCGGGGATGCGGACGGATCGGGATGCGGACGGATCGGGGATGCGGGACGGGATCGGGTGCGGGACGGGATCAGGGATGCGGGACGGGATCGGGTGCGGGACGGGATCGGGGATGCGGGACGGGATCGGGGATGCGGGACGGGATCGGGGATGCGGGACGGGATCGGGGATGCGGGACGGGATCGGGGATGCGGGCGATGGGATGCGGGACGGATCGGGGATGCGGGACGGATCGGGGATGCGGGACGGGATCGGGGATGCGGACGGATCGGGATGCGGACGGACGGGATGCGAGACGGATCGGGGATGCGGACGATCGGGGATGCGGGACGGGATCGGGGATGCGAGACGGGATCGGGGATGCGGACGGATCGGGGATGCGGGACGGGATCGGGGATGCGGGACGGGATCGGGGATGCGGGACGGGATCGGGGATGCGGGACGGGATCGGGGATGCGAGACGGGATCGGGGATGCGGGACGGGATCGGGGATGCGGGACGGGATCAGGGATGCGGGACGGGATCAGGGATGCGAGATGGGATCAGGGATGCAGGATGGGATCAGGGATGCGAGATGGGATCAGGGATGCGGGATGGGATCGGGGATGCGGGATGGGATCAGGTGCGGGATGGGATCGGGGGTGCAGGATGGGATCAGGGATGCGGCTCCATGGAGCACTGGGGGCAGGAGCCAGCCCTGGCTCCGCTTCCATCCCATTTGAAGCAGTAAAAGGTGGAAGCTCGGTCCCGGTGACCCCGCGGTGGGTTCCCCCCTCCCATCCTCCCCACGGGGAGTTTGGGGCAAAACAAGGGGGTTTTGGTCAAAGGGCCCGGGTACCAAGTCAAGATGCAGTTTTATTTACAGGGGCAGCCACAACGCGCTCGGGGGGACACAGACCACGCACAGAGAGCAGGGACATGGGGGGGGGGGGGCCCACGGATGGGGGGGGATATGGGGCACATCCACCCCCCCCAGCCCCACAGCACTCCTTGGACCCCAAACAGCCGCTCCTCTCCCGCAGCAGAAGGGCTCAGGCTGGGTTCCCCCCCCTCTCCCATCCCATCCCTGGGCATTGTCCCATTTGGGGGGGCCAGGGTGGTCCCTGTGGGGCTGGACCCCCCTCCTGAGCCCCAGGGCGCGCCGAGGCCAGCTCAGCGTGCGCTGGTGCCCCCCCAGCACGAGCCTTTAGCAGCAGTTTGACCATAGTGAATCCAAGAGCACCATAAGTTGAGACCCACGGCACTGGGGGGGGGGGGCACAGACGGATGTGGGGGGCAGAGACCCATTGGGGGGGGTGGTCAATGAGCAGGTCCCAACACAGCCCCTTCATGGAGAACCTGGGTGCTAGGGGGGGGGGCCTAAACACCAGCCCCAGGGACCCCCCCCAATGGCAGCAGCAGGACCCTGGGCACATGGGGATGGGGGGGATCACAAAGCTGAGCTGTGCCCCCCCACCGTTTGCCCTATGGCAACTGGGGTACAAAAGCACTGGGGGGGTGCTGTTACGCCCCCCACAACCAGCCCCAAGCGTAAAGGATGCAGCATGCAGCCCACCCCCCTCAAATCCAGATGTTGGGGGGGTCCCCTCCATCCTGAACCAGGGCATTGGGGGGGGGTCAGGCCTGGTGCTGTGGGTGCCCCCCCCACTGGGGCTGGGTAGGAAGGGGGGGGCTGTGCCCCATGGACATCAATAAATAGAGGCACCAGAGGGGGTGGGGGGGGTACCCCCAAACTCACCCCCCCCCCCCATTCCATCCATTCCCCACCCCCGGTACCCGCGCTGTGTGACCGGTCCATGCCCCCGTGCCCCCCCGCCCCGCTGCTCAGTTGATGTCATCGTAGATGCTGGGGGGGTGCGCGTGGGGGGGCTTGGGCTTCTTCTTCTTGCTGGAGCCCAGCCCCGGGGCTCCGCTCCCCAGCCCCAGGTGCGGCTTCTTCTTCTTGGCCTTGCGGGACTCGGAGTTATTGGTACCTGGGGGGGGGGAGAGGGAGATGGGGGGAGTCAAGGGGGGGGGAAGGGCAGAAAGAGCCCCCCCGGAGCTGTGCCCCCCCCCCCCCGCACTCACTGGCTTTGGAGGAGGCCGAGTCCGAGGGGGAGATGTCGGAGCCGTCCCACTGCAGGCGGCTCATGAGGGCCTGGCTCTGGCTCTCGGCCACCTCGAAGCTCTCCGTGTCCACGGCGGCCTCGGCCTCGGGCAGGGACCTGGGCACAGGGGGTCAAGATGGTGCTGCTGTGACACAGTGCAATGGGGGGGCTCGGACCCACAGCCCAGCCCCCCCCCCAGGGTGTCCCCATGAGCCTGCCCCCGGTCACCATGGGGCAGAGGCACAGCAGGAGAGGGGCACTGGGACCCCGCATGGGTGCAGTGGGACCCACACACGGGCAATGGGACCCACACATGTGCAGTGGGACCCCACATGCACAATGGGACCCCACACGTGGGCAATGGGGCCCCACACATGCACAATGGGACCCACACGTGTGGAGAGGGACCCTACACACAATGGGACCCCACACGGGCACTGGGACCCCACACGTGTGCAGTGGGACCCCACATGCACAATGGGACCTCACATGTGCAAAATGGGACCCGCATGGGCAATGGGACCCACACGTGTGCAGTGGGACCCACAAGCACAATAGGACCCCACACGCGGGCAATGGGACCCCACACGCACAATGGGACCCACACATGTGCAGAGGGACTCTACACACAATGGGGACCCCACACGGGTACTGGGACCCCACATGTGTGCAGTGGGACCCACACACAGGCAATGGGACCCACACGTGTGCAGTGGGACCCACAAGCACAATAGGACCCCACACGCGGGCAATGGGACCCACACGTGTGCAGAGGGACCCTACACACAATGGGACCCCACACGGGCACTGGGACCCCACATGTGTGCAGTGGGACCCACACATGGGCAATGGGACCCACACGTGTGCAGTGGGACCCCACATGCACAATGGGACCCCACATGCAGGCAATGGGACTCCACATGTGCAAAATGGACCCACATGGGCAATGGGACCCACAAGCACAATAGGACCCCACACGCGGGCATTGGGACCCCACACGCACAATAGGACCCCACATGTGTGCAATGGGACCCCACATGCGGGCTATGGGACCCACAAGCACAATAGGACCCCACATGCGGGCAATGGGACCCCACACAGGCAATGGGACCCCACGCGCACAATGTGACCCCACACGGGCAATGGGACCCCACACGGGCAATGGGACCCCACACATGGGCATTGGGACCCACACGTGGGCAATGGGACCCCATGCGCACAATGGGACCCACACGCGGGCATTGGGACCCACACGTGGGCAATGGGACCCCACACGCGGACAATGAGACCCCCCCCCATGTAACGGGACCCCCACGTGTGCTCACTTACGCAGAGGGGCCGAGCAGATAAACCCGGACCGATCTCCGCTGCTCATCCGTGTGCTGGGGACACCGCAGGGACCTGGGGGGCACACGTGGGGCTGAGCCTCTGTGTCCCCCATGGGGACCTGAGCCCCCCAGCGCCCCTCCGGCCCCCCAGGATGCTCTGACCCCCAGAGAACCCCTGGGATGCTCTGACCCCCGGGATGCTCTGACCCCCAGGATGCTCTGACCCCCGGGATGCTCTGACCCCCAGGATGCTCTGACCCCCGGGATGCTCTGACCCCCGGGATGCTCTGACCCCCGGGATGCTCTGACCCCCAGGATGCTCTGACCCCCGGGATGCTCTGACCCCCGGGATGCTCTGACCCCCGGGATGCTCTGACCTGGTGCACATCTTCTTGGTGTGCTCCGAGATGACGCCGCATTGCTGGGGACAGAGGGGACGGGTTCAGGTTGGGGGAGCCCCAATCCCAGTGCCCCCCCATCCAGCAGGATGAGGCCCTGCTCTGGGGGGGTGCGCCATGGACCCCCATGCACCACGCACCGTGGTGAGCAGCGTCCGCAGCTCCTCGGGGCCCAGCGTCTCGTAGTTGATCCCGGTGGAGTTGCTGTACTGTGGGGGGGGCAAAGGGGGGTCAGGGGCAGGATGGGGCAGGGACCCCCCCGATGGACGGGGTCACCCCTGTCATGGGCTCACCTTGAAGGGATCGGGGTTCCCTCCGATCTCACCTGGAAGAGAGGAGGGGTGAGGGGGTGCAGGGGGTCTGGACACCCATAACCCCCCCCATAGACCCCCCCATAGACCCTCCCATAACCCCCCCATAGACCCCCCCATATTCCCCCGTAGACCCCCCCATAACCCCCTCATAGACCCTCCCCATAGACACCCCCCCATAGACCCCCCCCATAATCCCCCATAGACCCCCCCATAACCCCTCCCCATAGACACCCCCCATAAACCCCCCCCATAATCCCCCCATAGACTCCCCCCATAAACCCTCCCCCATAGACACCCCCCCCCCATAGAACCCCCATAATCCCTCATAGACCCCCCCATAACCCCTCCCCATAGACACACCCCCCATAGACCCTCCCCATAGAGCCCCCCCCCCACAATACCCCATAGACCCTCCATAACACCCCCCCATAGACCCTCCCCCATAGACACGCCCCCCCACAGACCCCCCCCATAATCCCCCCCCCCATAGACCCCCCCCCCATAACCCCCCCCCCATAGACCCTCCCCATAGACACCCCCCCATAGACCCCCCCCCATAATCCCCCATAGACCCCCCCATAGAGCCCTCCCCCCCCTCACCGTTTTTGTGTTTCAGGGACTTGGACCTGCGGGGCGAGTTGGGGTTCTGCAACAAAGGGGGGGTGAATTAGGAGGTGCAATGCGCGTCATTCAGCCTCCCCCCACCTCCCCCCCTCACCTTGTCCGACTTCCTCTTCTTTGCTATGGGGACAGAGAGGAAAGATGAATTTTACCTTTTCCGGGGGGTTTCGCCCCAAACACCGCAGCCCCCCCCCCTTGGGGCACAGGGCCCCCCGTGCCCCCCACCTTTCTTCTCGGACCCATAGGACCAGTCGTTGTCGTTGATGTCGTCGTTGTCCTCCTGGTCGCTCTCGGACTTGGTCAGGTTGTTGCTGCTGGCGATCCTGCGGGGGGGGAGCTCAGGACACAGCGGGACCCAGCCTGACCCCCCCAGCACCCCAAACCCAGCCTGACCCCCCCCCAGCACCCCAAACCCAGCCTGACCCCCCCAGCACCCCAAACCCAGCCTGACCCCCCCAGCACCCCAGGATCCACCCTGACCCCAGCACCCCAGGATCCACCCTGACCCCAGCACCCCAGGATCCATCCTGACCCCCCCCAGCACCCCAGGATCCATCCTGACCCCCCCAGCACCCCAGGATCCACCCTGACCCCCCCAGCACCCCAGGATCCACCCTGACCCCCCCCAGCACCCCAGGATCCATCCTGACCCCAGCACCCCAGGATCCACCCTGACCCCAGCACCCCAGGATCCACCCTGACCCCCCCAGGACCCCAGGATCCATCCTGACCCCAGCACCCCAGGATCCATCCTGACCCAGCACCCCAGGATCCACCCTGACCCCCAGCACCCCAGGATCAATCCTGACCCCAGCACCCCAGGATCCATCCCTGACCAGCACCCCAGCACCCACCCTGACCCCAGCACCCCAGGATCCACCCTGACCCCCCCAGCAGCCCAGGATCCATCCTGACCCCCCCCAGCAGCCCAGGATCCATCCTGACCCCCCCAGCACCCCAGGATCCACCCTGACAGCACCCCAAACCCATCCTGACCCCCCCCCCAGCACCCCAGGATCCACCCTGACACCCCCAGGACCCACCCTGACCCCCCGCAGCACCCCAGGATCCATCCTGACCCCCCCCCCAGCACCCCAGGATCCACCCTGACCCCAGCACCCCAGGATCCACCCTGCGCCCCCCCCAGCACCTCAGGATCCATCCTGACCCCAGCACCCCAGGATCCATCCTGACCCCAGCACCCAGCATCCACCCTTACAGCACCCCAGGATCCACCCTGACCCCCCCAGCACCCCAGGATCCACCCTAACCCCAGCACCCACCCTGACCCCAGCACCCCAGCACCCTCCTGCCCCCCCCAGCCCCCCCCCGGCCCCACCTGCGGTTGGCGATGCGGCTGCTGTTGCGCCCCATGCCCAGGCACTTCTCGAGGTGCGGGGCGAAGCGGGCGGCGGCGATGCTGCGGCTGCAGTTGGGGCACACGCACTCCTTGTTCTTCCACTGGTTGTACACCTGCCCGAAGATGTCCACGCCGGGCTGGTCCACGATCTCTGCACCCATGGGACACGGCCTCAGCACCCGCACCCATGGGGACAGGGCCTCAGCACCCGCACCCGTGGGACAGGGCTCTCAGCACCCGCACCCATGGGGACACGGCCTCAGCACCCGCACCCATGGGGACAGGGCTCTGAGCACCCGCACCCATGGGGACACGGCCTCAGCACCCGCACCCATGGGGACACGGCCTCAGCACCCGCACCCATGGGGACAGGGCCCTCAGCACCCGCACCCATGGGGACAGGGCTCTCAGCACCCGCACCCATGGGGACACGGCCTCAGCACCCGCACCCATGGGGACACGGCCTCAGCACCCGCACCCATGGGACACGGCCCTCAGCACCCGCACCCATGGGGACAGGGCTCTGAGCACCCGCACCCATGGGGACACGGCCTCAGCACCCGCACCCATGGGGACAGGGCTCTGAGCACCCGCACCCATGGGGACACGGCCTCAGCACCCGCACCCATGGGACAGGGCTCTGAGCACCCGCACCCATGGGGACAGGGCTCTGAGCACCCGCACCCATGGGGACACAGCCTCAGCACCCGCACCCATGGGGACACGGCCTCAGCACCCGCACCCATGGGGACAGGGCTCTGAGCACCCGCACCCATGGGGGACAGGGCTCTGAGCACCCGCACCCATGGGGACACAGCCTCAGCACCCGCACCCATGGGGACACGGCCTCAGCACCCGCACCCATGGGGACACGGCCTCAGCACCCGCACCCGTGGGGACAGGGCTCTGAGCACCCGCACCCATGGGGACACAGCCTCAGCACCCGCACCCATGGGGACACGGCCTCAGCACCCGCACCCATGGGGACACGGCCTCAGCACCCGCACCCGTGGGGACAGGGCTCTGAGCACCCGCACCCATGGGGACACAGCCTCAGCACCCGCACCCATGGGGACAGGGCTCTGAGCACCCGCACCCATGGGGACACAGCCTCAGCACCCGCACCCATGGGGACACGGCCTCAGCACCCGCACCCGTGGGGACACGGCCTCAGCACCCGCACCCATGGGACACGGCCTCAGCACCCGCACCCATGGGGACACCCAGCCCCCCAGCCCTGACCCACGGCAATGCCCAGAGCACCCCAGAACGGGCTGGGGTGGAAGGGACCCCCTGAGGCTCTGCAGGGACATCCCCGGATCCATCAGGGGGGTTCTGCTGGGATGGGGGGGCTGTGTTTAACCCATCCTGGTCATGTTCTACCAACCATGGTACTGTTGTACCCACTTTGGTCATATCCAACCTATCATAGCCATGTCCAACCCATCATGGTCATGTGAAACCCACCCTGACCATGTCCTACCCACCTTGGCCATGTTCTACCCACCTTGGCCATGTTCTACCCACCTTGGCCATGTCCAACCCACCTTGGCCATGTTCTACCCACCTTGGCCATGTCCTACCCACCTTGGCCATGTTCTACCCACCTTGGCCATGTTCTACCCACCTTGGCCATGTTCTACCCACCTTGGCCATGTCCTACCCACCTTGGCCATGTCCTACCCACCTTGGCCATGTTCTACCCACCTTGGCCATGTCCAACCCACCTTGGCCATGTCCAACCCACCTTGGCCACGTTCTACCCGCCTTGGCCACGTTCTACCCACCTTGGCCATGTCCAACCCACCTTGGCCACGTTCTACCCGCCTTGGCCACGTTCTACCCGCCTTGGCCACGTTCTACCCGCCTTGGCCACGTTCTACCCGCCTTGGCCACGTTCTACCCGCCTTGGCCACGTTCTACCCGCCTTGGCCATGTCCAACCCACCTTGGCCATGTTCTACCCACCTTGGCCATGTTCTACCCACCTTGGCCATGTTCTACCCACCTTGGCCATGTCCAACCCACCTTGGCCATGTTCTACCCACCTTGGCCATGTCCAACCCACCTTGGCCATGTCCTACCCACCTTGGCCATGTTCTACCCACCTTGGCCATGTTCTACCCACCTTGGCCATGTCCTACCCACCTTGGCCACGTTCTACCCACCTTGGCCATGTCCAACCCACCTTGGCCATGTTCTACCCACCTTGGCCACGTTCTACCCACCTTGGCCACGTTCTACCCACCTTGGCCATGTCCAACCCACCTTGGCCATGTTCTACCCACCTTGGCCATGTTCTACCCACCTTGGCCATGTTCTACCCACCTTGGCCATGTCCTACCCACCTTGGCCATGTTCTACCCACCTTGGCCATGTTCTACCCACCTTGGCCATGTTCTACCCACCTTGGCCATGTTCTACCCACCTTGGCCATGTTCTACCCACCTTGGCCCTATGTTCTACCCACCTTGGCCATGTTCTACCCACCTTGGCCATGTTCTACCCACCTTGGCCATGTTCTACCCACCTTGGCCACGTTCTACCCACCTTGGCCACGTTCTACCCACCTTGGCCACGTCCTACCCACCTTGGCCACGTTCTACCCACCTTGGCCACGTTCTACCCACCTTGGCCATGTTCTACCCACCTTGGCCATGTTCTACCCACCTCATCCCCCCCCATTCCCTTCCCAGCCCCCCCATGGCTCTCCTGGTGACACCAGGACCACGCCGCCCCCCCGCTCACCAAAGTCCTTGGTGCTGTCGGGGTCGGTGTCGTCCAGGAAGAAGTACCCGCACTTGACGGCGCGGTGAACCTCGAAGCACAGCCCCAGGCAGGCATCGTCCACCAGCTCCGTGTAGATCTCGTGCGCGATGGCCTGCGGGATTCCAGAGATGGGGTACGGTTAGTGAGGGTTAGTGGGGGTTAGTGAGGGTTAGGGTTAGGGGTTAGTGAGGGTTAGGGGTTAGGGTTGGTGGTTAGGGTTAGGGGTTAGGGTTGGGTTAGTGAGGGTTAGTGAGGGTTAGGGGTTAGTGAGGGTTAGGGTTGGTGGTTAGGGTTAGGGTTAGCATCAGGGTTGGTTAGGGTAAGGGTTAATGAGGGTTAGGGGTCAGTGAGGGTTAGGGGTTAGGGTTAGGGGTTAGTGAGGGTTAGGGGTTAGGGTTAGGGGTCAGTGAGGGTTAGGGGTTAGGGTTAGGGGTCAGTGAGGGTTAGGGGTTAGGGTTAGGGGTCAGTGAGGGTTAGGGGTTAGGGTTGGGTTAGTGAGGGTTAGTGTTAGCATTAGGGTTGGTTATGGTAAGGGTTAGTGAGGGTTAGGATTGGGTTAGTGAGGGTTAGGGGTTAGGGTTGCTGGTTAGGGTTAGGGGTTAGGGTTGGGTTAGTGAGAGTTAGGGTTAGCATTAGGGTTGGTTAGGGTAAGGGTTAGTGAGGGTTAGTTGTTAGGGATGGTTAGGGTTAAGGTTACGGGTTTAGGGTTAGTGAGGGTTAGGGGTTAACGTTAGTGAGGGTTAGTGTTTAGTGTTAGGGTTAGTGAGGGTTAGGGGTACAGGTTAGAGGTAAGGGTTAGGGGCAGGGGTTAGGGGTTAGCATTAGTGTTAGTGAGAGTTAGGGTTAGGGGTTAGGGTTAATGAGGGTTAGGGGTTAACGTTAGTATTAGGGTTAGTGAGGGTTAGGGTTGGGGTTAGGGGTTAGTGTTAGTGGTTAGTGTTAGGGTTAGTGAGGGTTAGCATTAGTGTTAGGGTTAGTGAGGGTTAGGGGTAGGGGTTAGGGGGAGGGCTTAGGGGCAGGTGTCAGGGGTTAGAATTAGCGAGGCTTAGGGTTAGGGGTTACGGTTAGGGGTTAAGGGTAGTGAGGGTCAGTGATGGTTAGGTGTAGGGGTTAAGGGTAGGGGTTAGGTTCAGGGGTTAGGGTTAGTGAGGGTTAGGGGTTAGCGTTAGTTTTAGGGGTTAGGGTTTAGTGATGGTTAGAGTTAGGGGTTAGGGAGAGTTGGGATTAGGGTTAGGGTTAGGGTTAGGGTTAGTGTTTAGGGTTAGGGTTAGGGTTAGGGTTAGGGTTAGGGTTAGGGTTAGGTTAGGGTTAGGGTTATGGTTAGGGTTAGGGTTAGGGTTAGGGTTAGGGTTAGGTTAGGGTTAGGGTTAGGGTTAGTGTTTAGGGTTAGGGTTAGGGTTAGGGTTAGGGTTAGGGTTAGGGTTAGGTTAGGGTTAGGGTTAGGGTTATGGTTAGGGTTAGGGTTAGGGTTAGGGTTAGGGTTAGTGTTTAGGGTTAGGGTTATGGTTAGGGTTAGTGTTTAGGGTTACGGTTATGGTTAGGGTTAGGGTTTAGGGTTAGGGTTAGGGTTAGGGTTAGGGTTAGGGTTAGGGTTAGGGTTTAGGGTTACGGTTATGGTTAGGGTTAGGGTTTAGGGTTACGGTTCTGGTGTCAGCCCGGGGCTCACCTCCAGTTTGCTGTTATCCAGGCCAGACAAAGACATTTCCTCCATTTTCATTTGCAATGCTCGCGGGGACGGCGCTGCCAACGCTCATAGCACGGGGCACCGGGGCGGGGGGCAGGCTGCGGGGGGGGGGGCACGCTGGCTCCTCACTATGGCCAACAGCCCCCGACACAGCCAAAACCCACCCCAAGAGCCCCTCACCACGGTCAGGCCCCCCCTAAGTGACCCCAAGAGACCCTCGAAGGAATTGGGGTGGCAGAAGGGCATCAACCTCCCTCAATGGGAAAGGAAAGTGGGAATGGGCCTGGCTCCACTGCCCTGTTCCAGGAGGGATCTCTGGGATAGAGCCAGTATGGGGGGGGGGGGCACAAGGACATCGCCTGTGCCCCATTGCTGCCCCCCCATGGACATTGCTGCCCATCACCGTGGCCTCAGGCCCCCCCCACTGTCTTAATGTGGAGGGGCTCAGGGGCACCCTCCCCAAAGGACCCCATTGTTGCCCCCCGAATGGACATTGCTGCCCATCACCCCGGCATCAGCCCCCCCCCCATGTCTCTGGACACCCCCCCATGCACCCCAATGCTTCCCCCCCCTCCTTAGGCATAGGTTTTGCTGCATCATTGGGGCTGATGGGGGGAGGGGCGGACGGGACCACCGTGTGCCCCCCCCCCTCCCGCAGGGGTTACAGAGGGGGGACCCCAAACTTACCCCCCCCCAGCTCCCCCGGCCACCAACGGCACCAGTTCCCCGACCCAACCACTGCGCCGGGGAAGGGGGGGGGCGCAAAGCGGAGGGGGGGGTCCTCGTTGTGTGCCCCCCCCCCACCCCGCACCTCCCGGCACCCGCTTCCGGGCGGGAGCAGGGGAAGAGGAATCAGCGGCGGGATCGGGACCGGGACCGGGATTGAGGCCGGGATCGGGACCCTGCGGCCCCCCCCGGGGCGGGCTCTGTGGTGCGGGCAGAGCCTGGGGGACGCGAACAAAGGGGGGGGGGGTTGGACGCAACCACCCATGGGGGGATCGGTGCCAGTGAGGCGGGAGGGGGGCTGGAGCAGGCAGGGCCCGGTTCGGGGTTCGGGGCCCGGTGCCGCGGGGAGGCCCGGGGCGGTCGGGGGGCACTCACCGGAGCGCAGGGCCCGGCGGGGCCGGGTCAGCGCCCCCCGGCGCGGCTCGGCGGGGCCCGGCCGTGGCTCCCCATGCTCGGCGGCAGCGCCGCCCGCCCTTCCGGGGCAGGGCCCGGCCGCGCCGGTGCGCTCCGATCCGCGGGGCTCTGGGGCCGGGCCGGGCTTTGGCTCCCTCCAAAGGAGAGGGGAGGGGGAAAGGGGAGTGGCGCCGCACCCCGCTCGCGCACGTCCCGCCCCCCGGAGCCAACGTCCAATGGGAAGGCGCCGGGCGGAGCGCGGCCAATGGGAGTGGGACATAGGGAAAGGGGCGGGGCAATTGAGTGGGGCGGGGTTAAACGGAGGGCGTGGTCTGGAGGGGGCGGGGCTTGCGGGCCCCCCCTTCGTGTTTCCCGCGGCTTCCACACAGCATGGATCCCTATGGACGCCCCCATCCTTACGGACCCCTACGGATACCCCACCCTTAGGGAGCCCCATCCTTATGGATCCCCCCACCCTTAGGGATCCCCGTTACCAGAGAGCCCCACCCCTATGGATCCCTATAGATCCCCTTACCCTTAGGGATCCCTGCCTCCAGGGAGCCCCATCCCTATGGATTCCCCCACCCTTAAGGATCCCTGCCTCCAGGGAGCCCCATCCCTATGGATCCTCCACCCTTAGGGACTCCCATCCCCATTGAGCCCCATCCCTATGGATCCTCCACCCTTAGGGACCCCCATCCCCATTGAGCCCAATCCCTATGGATCCCCCCACCCTTAGGAACCCCATCCCCATTGAGCCCCATCTCTATGGATCCCCCCACCCTTAGGGACCCCCATCCCTATGGATCCCCCCACCCTTAGGAACCCCATCCCCATTGAGCCCCATCCCTATGGATCCCCCCACCCTTAGGGACCCCCATCCCCATTGAGCCCCATCCCTATGGATCCTCCACCCTTAGGGACTCCCATCCCCATTGAGCCCCATCCCTATGGATCCCCCCACCCTTAGGGCCCCCATCCCCATTGAGCCCCATCCCTATGGATCCTCCACCCTTAGGGACCCCCATCCCCATTGAGCCCCATCCCTATGGATCCCCCCACCCTTAGGAACCCCATCCCCATTGAGCCCCATCCCTATGGATCCCCCCACCCTTAGGACCCCCATCCCTATGGATCCCCCCACCCTTAAGAACCCCATCCCCATTGAGCCCCATCCCTATGGATCCCCCCACCCTTAGGACCCCCATCCCTATGGATCCCCCCCCCCTTACAACCCCATCCCCATTGAGCCCCATCCCTATGGATCCCCCCACCCTTAGGGACCCCCATCCCTATGGATCCCCCCACCCTTAGGGACCACCATCCCCATTGAGCCCCATCCCTATGGATCCCCCCACCCTTAGGGACCCCCATCCCCATTGAGCCCCATCCCTATGGATCCCCCCTTAGGGCAGCCCATTTCCCCATGGCTCCCTGATCCCCCTCTCTTCCATAGTGACCCCCTATTCCCCCCAGTGCTCCCATCACATCCCTGTGCCCTCAGGTCCCCCGTGGACCAAATCCCAACGAATCCCTATGGATTCCTCCCCGGGGGGGAGGGAAGAACACTCCGTGGAGTGGCTGCTTTTTGCCTCAAGGTTTATTTCCCAGAGCAAGGACACGAGAGCGGAGCCGGGATTTGTCACTTTATTATACAAAAACCCAACGAAAATTCCAAAGAAAACAAAAAAATCCCAAAAAAAATTCCTCCAAATAATACAACAACCGAAGAAAGGAAACGAAGGAAGTGAAGCCGGAGCCGAGCGACGCCGTAGAAATTCCAAGTTGGGATTATTCTTTATTATTTCTTATTTTTTTTTTGCCTTTTTAACGTTTTTTTTAAACCTACAAAAACACTTTTTAAATATTAGAAAAAAAAAATCTTTTTTTTTGTTTTTTTAACTTTTTTCCTTTTTTTTGGTTTTTCTCTTTTTTTTGTGGAATTCACAAGAAACTTCCCTCTAAAGGATCCCGGGGTTTTGCGGCAGTGCCAAAATGCACTCACAGGTTCAATCCTCTCGCAGCGCAAACGCCTTTAGCCCCCAATTGTCGGCGCTGTAAGATTTTTATTCGTCATTTTTTTGTCTTTTTTTTTTTTTTTGAAGTTTTTTAACAGAAAAAAAAAACGGAAAAAAAAAAAGGGATTTTGGGGTTTTTTTTTTGTTTTTTTTTCTCTTTTTTTCCTTGTACTAAAAACATCCACTAAAACACGACGGCGGCGGTGGGAACACTCAGCGGGATCGAGGCCCCTCAATGGGGGTGGGATTAAAGGGGGGGGGGAATATGAAATCCCAAACTGGAAGCAATGGGAATGGGAATGGGATGAGGGATGGATGGAGACACACACACACACACACTGGCCCAAGGGGATTGTCCATATGGGAAGCCCCCCCCCAATAGGTTTGGGTTCAATTGCCCCCAAATGGTGAGGACTGAGCCCAATTTGAGGCTGGGAAGAGGGTGCCCCCCCCCCCAGCACTGAGAGGTCCATGGGGGGGGGGGTTTGGGGTGACTCATATGGGGGCTTTGAGAGCAGCAAAGTGAGGGTGGCCCCCCCTAAACCCGGAGCTTGCCCCCCCATTCCCCACTCTGGGCTGAAATCTGGGGGGAAAGAAGAGGAAAATGGTTCAAGTCCCCCCCCCCCCCATGTCCCTGTGCCCCCCAAGTCCTGTCCCCCAATCCCAGCTCCTCTCCAGGGACAGGATGGGGACACACACACACACACACACTCTGTGCCCCCCCTCATACAGTGGGGGTGCAGGGAGGGTCCCCCATTGCACTGGGTGCTCTGGGGGGGGCTGTGGGATTGCTGGTGCTTGTGTCTGCTTAAAAAGGGGGGGGGGCCAGAGCAGGACCCCCACCCCTGCACCCACCCTGTCCCCACAGCCCCATCCCCGGGGGGGGGCCAACATCAACCCCCCCATCAACCCAAGATATATATACAGCATGGATGAGGGGGGCAAAATGGGGGTACTGGGGGCAAGGGGGGGGAACATCCCCCCCAATTTGGGGTGAAGGGAGAGGAGCAGCTTCACCAGGGATAGAGGAAAAATGGGGGGGGGGGGCAAGAAAAAAGAAGGAATTTTGTGGTTTGAGGAAAAGGAGGAAAAAAAAGACTAAAATAAAACACAACGGGGGGGGACGACCCCAAAAAACCCCCCCTTGGTCACACGGAGCAGTGACCCCCGGACCATGGCGCTGTGGGGGGTCACCCCCCCCATTCACACACACACACACATGCGCACCCCCCCACCCAAATCCATCCCACCCCCCCCAATGGGTCCCGGTCCGTGGCTGTGGATCCCAAGTGGATGTGAGGTCCCAGTGCGGCTTCCAGACTGTACAATGGGGGTGCATGGGGGGGGGGGGGGGCACCCCGACAATGGGGGTTGAATGGGGGGGACACCCCAAAACACTGTGGGGGGGGTGCACAAAGGGGGAGGAGGAGCCATCATCCCAATGGCTGAGTCCTGAGCAGCTCGGCTCATGCTGGGGGGGGGGGTTTATCCATTTATGGGAGTTTTAATGTAAAAAAAAAGGGGGGGGGATTTTTTCCTGTTTCTCCTTTTCTTTCTCTGAAGTCCAGAGCTGGCAGTGGGGGGGGGCAGGGCGGCCCCCCCAAAAACAATGAAACCCCCCCAAAAGTAACAATAATCATGTCGTGTCCCCCCCCTTGCTAAAGGGGGTGCAGGGATGGGGGGGGTCACCCCCTGTACCCCCTGCCCTGGTTCATCCCCTCCCATAGTGATGGTGGAGGGGTTCCTCCAGCCCCCATGCCCCGGGTTGGGGGTCCCAATGGGGGGAGGGCTGCGGGAGGAAGAGTTTTGGGGTGTGAGGGGGGGGGGGGGGTTTGTGGTGGGATTTGGGATCGGAACCGAGAATCCCAAGGACGTTACAAAGAGCTGGGCTCAGTTGGAGTCGGAGTCGGAGGAGTCCCCCGAGGAGGAGGAGGAGCTGCTGCTGCCCTCGGAGTCGTTGTCATCCTCATCCTCATCATCCTCATCCTCATCGTCATCGTCGTTCTGGGGGGGCAGAGAGGACATTGGGGGGGGTTAGCAGCAGGGAACGGGGGGGTCCAGCCCCATCCCTCCCATCACAGAGCTCCCAGAGCAGGGATACGTGGGGCAGGACCCCCCCTCCATTCCCCTTTGCCTTTCCCCCTCTCTGCCCTGCTTCACCCCCAGCCCCGGAGCAGGGGGATGTGGGGCAGAGCAGGGGGCATGGGGCGGCCCCAGCCTCACCTCGTCCCCGTCGTCGCTCTCCTCCTCGCTGCTGGACTCGGAGGAGTCGCCCCCTTCCTCCGATGAGTCCCCGTTGTCGTCGTCGTCGTCCTCGTCTTCGTCGTCGTCTTCCTCCTCCTCTTCCTCCTCATCCTCGTCTTCGGATTCCTGAGGGGCGGGAGGAGGGTGGCTGTGGGGCAGCAGCACCCATGGGTGCAGCACCCCACCCTCAGCCCTTGGGGGGCTCCTGCCCCACACCTCATCCAGGGGCTCTCCCTGTTTATGCTCCCAACAGCCCCAAAGAGGTTCCTGGAGCTGGGGGGGGTGAAATCAGCCCCGAGGTTTGGGGGCTGGATCTGGGGACAGCCCCTGGGTTCCTGCCGCAGGGAGAGCCTGAAGCAGAGCAGAGGGTGCTGGGTGCCCAGCGCGGGCAGGGCGCACTCACCGACTTGGACTGCATCGTTGGCTTCATCTTGGGGTTGGGGCCCCGCATCTTTCCTATGCTCTTGCGTTTCTGCAGGGGGAGGAACCAACCCAAGCCTTGCAGAGCTGCAGAGCTCGGCTCCTTCCCAGTGCCCAGCCTGGAGATAACCCCGCTGCCCAGCCTGGCTCATTCACCCCACAGCAACCCAGCCCCAAGCCCCCCACATCCCCCCCATCGGGTGCATACTCACGTTAGAGATGTGCTCCTTGTAGGCAGCGCGCTCCTGGGGGGAGAGGCTCTGCAGAGACAGGGGGAGAGTGAGGGGATGGAGCAGGGATGGATGGAGCAGGGATGGATGGAGCAGGGGATGGATGGAGCAGGGATGGATGGAGCAGGGGATGGATGGAGCAGGGGATGGATGGAGCAGGGGATGGATGGAGCAGGGGATGGATGGAGCAGGGATGGATGGAGCAGGGGATGGATGGAGCAGGGGATGGATGGAGCAGGGGATGGATGGAGCAGGGATGGATGGAGCAGGGATGGATGGAGCAGGGGATGGATGGAGCAGGGGATGGATGGAGCAGGGGATGGATGGAGCAGGGGATGGATGGAGCAGGGGATGGATGGAGCAGGGATGGATGGAGCAGGGGATGGATGGAGCAGGGGATGGATGGAGCAGGGGATGGATGGAGCAAGGGATGGACGGAGCAGGGGATGGATGGGATGGAGCAGGGATGGATGGGATGGAGCAGGGATGGATGGAGCAGGGGATGGATGGAGCAAGGAATGGATGGAGCAGGGAGGGATGGAGCAGGGGATGGATGGAGCAGGGGATGGATGGAGCAGGGGATGGATGGAGCAGGGCAGGGATGGAGCAGGGCAGGGATGGAGCAGGGCAGGGATGGAGCAGGGCAGGGATGGAGCAGGGCAGGGATGGAGCAGGGCAGGGATGGAGCAGGGATGGATGGAACAGGGCATGGATGGAGCAGGGGATGGATGGAGCAGGGGATGGATGGAGAAGGGGATGGATGGAGCAGGGATGGATGGAGCAGGGGATGGATGGAGCAGGGCATGGATGGAGCAGGGGATGGATGGAGCAGGGGATGGATGGAGCAGGGATGGATGGAGCAGGGCATGGATGGAGCAGGGGATGGATGGAGCAGGGGATGGATGGAGCAGGGGATGGATGGAGCAGGGGATGGAGCAGGGGATGGATGGAGCGGGGATGGATGGAGCAGGGATGGATGGAGCAGGGGATGGATGGAGCAGGGGATGGATGGAGCGGGGATGGATGGAGCAGGGGATGGATGGAGCAGGGCATGGATGGAGCAGGGCATGGATGGAGCAGGGGATGGATGGAGCAGGGGATGGATGGAGCAGGGCATGGATGGAGCAGGGATGGATGGAGCAGGGGATGGATGGAGCAGGGGATGGATGGAGCAGGGGATGGATGGAGCAGGGCATGGATGGAGCAGGGATGGATGGAGCAGGGGATGGATGGAGCAGGGGATGGATGGAGCAGGGGATGGATGGAGCAGGGGATGGATGGAGCAGGGCAGGGATGGAGCAGGGCAGGGATGGAGCAGGGGACAGAGCAGGGCATGGATGGAACAGGGGATGGAGCAGGGCATGGATGAGGGATGGAGCAGGGGATGGATGGAGCAGGGCATGGAGGAGGGATGGAACAGGGGATGGAGCAGGGCAGGGATGGACCAAGGCATGGATGAGGGATGGAGCAGGGATGGAACAGGGGATGGAGCAGGGGATATATGGAGCAGGGCAGGGATGGAGCAGGGGACAGAGCAGGGCATGGATGGAGCAGGGGAGGGAGCAGGGGATGGATGAGGAGCAGGGGATGGACGGGGATGGATGGAGCAGGGATGGATGGAGCAGGGGATGGATGGAGCAGGGGATGGATGGAGCAGGGGATGGATGGAGCAGGGGATGGATGGAGCAGGGGATGGATGGAGCAGGGGATGGATGGAGCAGGGGATGGAGGAGCAGGGGACAGAGCACAGGATGGAGCAGGGACGGATGGAGCAGAGGATGGATGGAGCAGGGATGGATGGGACGGGGATGGATGGAGCAGGGGATGGATGGAGCAGGGGATGGATGGAGCAGGGGATGGATGGAGCAGGGGATGGATGGAGCAGGGGATGGATGGAACAGGGGATGGATGGAGCAGGGCATGGATGGAGCAGGGGACAGAGCACAGGATGGAGCAGGGACGGATGGAGCAGGGGATGGATGGAGCAGGGGATGGATGGAGCAGGGGATGGATGGAGCAGGGGATGGATGGAACAGGGGATGGATGGAGCAGGGGATGGATGGAGCAGGGGATGGATGGAGCAGGGGATAGAGCAGGGCATGGATGGAGCAGGGCATGGAGGAGGGATGGAGGAGGGATGGAACAGGGGATGGAGCAGGGCAGGGATGGACCAAGGCATGGATGAGGGATGGAGCAGGGATGGAACAGGGGATGGAGCAGGGGATATATGGAGCAGGGCAGGGATGGAGCAGGGGACAGAGCAGGGCATGGATGGAACAGGGGAGGGAGCAGGGCATGGATGAGGGATGGAGCAGGGGATGGAGCAGGGGATGGATGGAGCAGGGCATGGATGGAGCAGGGGATGGATGGAGCAGGGGATGGATGGAGCAGGGCACGGATGGAGCAGGGCACGGATGGAGCAGGGCACGGATGGAGCAGGGATGGAACAGGGGATGGAGCAGGGCATGCATGGAGCAGGGGAGGGAGCAGGGGATGGTGAGGGGATGGAACAGGGACGGAGCAGGGGATGGAGCAGGGCATGGGGTAGGGGATAGAGCAGGAGACGGATGGAGCAGGGCACGGAGCAGGGGATGAAACGGGATGGAGCAGGGGCTGGAGCAGGGCATGGAGCAGGGCATGGATGAGGGATGGAACAGGGGATGGAGCAGGGCAGGGATGGACCAAGGCATGGATGAGGGATGGAGCAGGGATGGAACAGGGGATATATGGAGCAGGGGATATATGGAGCAGGGGATATATGGAGCAGGGCAGGGATGGAGCAGGGCAGGGATGGAGCAGGGGACAGAGCAGGGCATGGATGGAACAGGGGAGGGAGCGGGGCATGGATGAGGGATGGAGCAGGGCATGGAGCAGGGATGGAGCAGGGATGGAGCAGGGGATGGAGCAGGGGATGGAGCAGGGGACGGAGCAGGGGATGGAGCAGGGGATGGAGCAGGGGATGGAGCAGGGCATGGAGCAGGGGATGGATCAGGGCACGGATGGAGCATGGGACGAAGCAGGGATGGAGCAGGGATGGAGCAGGGGATCGAGCAGGGCATGGAGTAGGGGATGGAGCAGGGGATGGAGCAGGGGATGGAGCAGGGGATGGAGCAGGGGATGAAGCAGGGGATGGAGCAGGGGATGGAGCAGGGGATGGAGCAGGGGATGGAGCAGGGGATGGAGCAGGGGATGGAGCAGGGGATGGAGCAGGGGATGGAGCAGGGGATGGAGCAGGGGATGGAGCAGGGGATGGAGCGTGGATGCTGCAGAGACCACGCCAACAGTCCCCGAGAACGGAGGCTGGGCGCTCACCTTGAGCCAGATGTCGAGGTGCACCTTGTACTGCTTCTGCTGCTCCTCTGCCATCTTCTTGTAGTGGTCCTTCTGGCCCTGGGAGATGCGCTGCCAGCGGCTGCCGATCTCCACCATGCGCTCCTTCAGGGGGAGGTGGTTCAGCTCCCCGTTGGACAGCAGCTCCTGGGAGAACTTCTGGTAACCGTTCCTGCAGTGCGGAGGAGCGTTCAGAACCTGCTGGCCAGAGCTGAGGTGTCCCTGGGCACCAACCACCTCCATCCCCAGCACCGGTCCAGCTCCAGACATGGGGAATCACAGCATCAACCACACTGGAAAAGAGCTTTAAGATCAAGCCCAGTTGTGCCCCTTGTCCCATCCCTTGTTCCTTGGGAGCAGAGCCCAGCCCCTCCTGGCTCCATCCTCCTGTCAGGCACTTGTAGGCAGCCATCAGGTCCCCCCTGAGCCTTCTCTTCTCCAGCCTGAACCCCCCAGGTCCCTCAGCCCTTCCCCATCACACTTGTGCTCCAGGCCCTGCACCAGCCCCATTGACCCCGCTCCAGCACCTCAATGTCTGTCACAGTGAGGGGCCCAGAGCTGAGCCCAGGATGCCCCCATTCCAGACCCAGGCACTCACATGGGGGGTTTCTTCGGCTCTCCCTGGAACTTCACTTTCTTGGCAGAGTTGGTGGAGCACGGAGGAGCCCGCATCTCGCTCAGCTCCCTCTGGGGCACAGGACACAGGGGGTCAGGGGCACAGGGGCAGCGCCCAGGGCCAGGGGCAGGAGGGAGCAGGGACCCACCTCGTATCGCTTCTGATCCTCCGCTGCCTTCTTGATCCACATCAGCTTCTCCTTCTTCTCCATGTTGTTCCAAGTGGCCTCCATGGCCTTCAGTGCCTTTCCCCGGTCGTTCTATGGCACAGACCCCCCCGCTCCATCACATCAGATGGGCCCAAGCTGCCACCCCCAGCTCCAATGTGGGACCCCCATCCCCACCCTGCTGCCCCAGGTACGGAGGGGAGCACGAGGGCACCCCCGGCCTGCTGCTCACCTTGAAGCGGGCCAGGTAGTCCCCGATGACGCTCTGCTGCCAGATCTCCTCGGCTGTTTTGGGGGACTCGGGCAGCTTCCCCCGCTCCTCCTTGTCCGAGCCGTGCTTCTTCTCCGACTGCGCCTTCATCGCCGCCTCCCGCGCCTTGTACTTGGCCTGGGCCGGGGGTGCAGGGAGGGGGTGAATGAAGGGACCCCCCCCAACCACTCAGCTTCAAGGACCCCTCTGAGCATCCTTTAGGGTGGGTTTTGCCCACCCAGGGCAGAGCCGGCAGCACCCATCAGTGCTGGGGTGACCCCGCAGCAGGCCCAGGATGGAGCAGCGCTGCTCGGTGGGAGCTGCCCCATGGAAGCAGGGATGCAGGAGCAGGATGGGCACGGCACCAACCTTCTTCTTCTCGGAGAGGTCGTTCCACATGCGGGCCAGCAGGCGGGTGAGCTCGCTCTCCGACAGCTCCGGCCGCTCCTCCTGCAGCTGCTTCCGCTTCTCCTCCGAGAAGATGAACATGGCAGAGATGGGCCGCTTGGGCTTCTCCGAGCTGGCCTGTGGGGGGGAACACACATCCACAACCGGGGTGAGCCCATGGAGGGCCCCACAGCCTCACCCCACACCCGGCCCCATCGCTGCGGCCGCTGCTCTCACCTTGCCCGTCTCCGGGGAGGATTTCTTGGATGCAGGACTCGTCGCCCCTTTCCGGTTGCTGCCCAGCATCTTCTCCTCGCCCAGCACCCGCTGCTGCTCCTCCTCAGGCAGGCTCTGGGTGGTGGGAGACAGGGAACACGGTGAGACGGCCCCGTGCTGGCAGGGATTGGGTGCCAGAAGGGAGCGGGGGGAACTTAATGCACCCCAAAAGCCACACAGCATTGGGTACCGTGAGGCTGGGGCATCCCCTTGGTGGGCAATGGCCCTCTCCCTGGTGCAGGCTCATCCCCTTCCTCTTAGGAAAGGGAAGGTGCCCGGGTCCAGGTGTACCCCTGGGTTATCCATCCCTGGCAGTGCTCAAGGCCAGGTTGGACACAGGGGCTTGGAGCAAGCTGCTCCAGTGTGAGGTGTTCCTGCCCATGGCAGGGGTTGGAACCGGGTGAGCTTTAAGGGATTCTATGGTCTCAGCCCCCAGCCAGGGCTCCCTCCCCTCTCTGGGGGTCTCCAGTACCATGGCTGAGCCCCCATCACTCACCTCCAGGAAGCGGAGCAGCTCGACCTCGTAGTCTTTCTTTTTCTGGAGGGGATGGAGAGGTGGTTACACAGAGAACCCCTGCCCCATCCCTTCCTTGTGTGGTCCCTGACCCAGCCTCAGCCCCCCCCGAACAGCATCCTTCATCTGGACCATCACCTGGCCCCACAGACACGCGTGGGGACACAGGACCACAGGAGGAGGCCACCAACAGACTGATGGTGAGGATGACAAGAAGAGGCACTGAGGAAGGATGAGGCTCATCCATAGCCCGAGCTCTCCCATCCTCGCAGCACAGCACTGCTGTCCCCCCTGCCCATCCTCACTCACCTGGTCACACTTCTTGTGGTAGGCATCCTTTTCCTTCTGGGAGAGCAGCTTCCACTGCTGGCTGCACAGCACCATCCGCTCCGTGCTGGGCACGTCCTTCATGCTGGCCATCAGCTCTGCGCAGTACAGGGAGTAGCTGTTCCTGCAACCAACGGGGGCACCCAGAGTTAGAGACAACCTGCGTGGAGCTCTGGGTGCTCCCCCCCCACTGCTGTGCCAGAGGTGCTTGAAGTTTAGGGGAGCTCTGGGCTGGACCCCCTTAACCCGGAGCACGCAGCATCCCCATAAACCTCTGCAAACACGTGTTTGATGTCCATTAAGGACCAGTGTAGTTAAGGACCAGCTTGGTGGGCTCATGAACACGGTCACCGGAATGATTTGGGCTCTCAAAGCCCAGCAGAGCCCCAGTTTCCTCATCAGCAAGAGCCAGCATCTGCCCAGTGGGCACTGGGAGAGGGACGGCTCCCTCCCATGCAGGCAGGACTCACGGAGGGGGCTTTGTGGGTCGTCCATCAAACTTGTCCTTGAGCTGGCGCTCGGCCTTGGTGAGGGTGGAGCGGGTGATGCCCTCCTCGCTGATGTTCAGCTCCGGGTGCTTCTGGATGTAATCCCGCATGATCTCCTGCAAAGCATGGGCAGGGGTGAGCAGAGCGGCTCCGTCCCCGCCTGCCTGGGGCCGGAGGAGGAGGAAAGAGAAGCCAACCATTGCCCTAACAGCACCCAAGGGATGCTTCTCCCTTCCCCACGCACGGCTGGAGGAGGCCGGGCTCAGACTCACCAGTGACCTGCAGGGACCTGCCTGAAGCCCTGGCTATGGGGTGAGGCTGGCTGGCCTCGGAGTGAACACAGGGATGAGTGTGGAGGGGGACGGGTGAGGCTGCTCCCTACCTCGTACTCCTTCCGCTGTTCCAGGGCCTTATGAATCCATTTCAGCCTCTTTTTATCCGAGAGTTGAGACCACTGCTTGCCCAGCGACTCTTTCACCTCCTTCGTGGTGGCCTGAAAACCCAAAGCCAGAGGTGAGGGCAGAGGGGTAAAACCCACAAAAAGGGAGGAAAAAAAAGGTCCAAAAACAGCGGAGCCGAGCCGGGCCGGGGCAGGGGCTGCGTGCGAGTGAGGGCCATGGCCAGAGGTGTGAGGTCTGTGCTGGGAACCCTGCCTGCCTCAGCCTGTGGTCGAACTGCAGGCAAAAAAGCATTGGGGTCTGTACCCCCTGAGCCTCTTCCAGCTGTGCAGAGCCCCTCCTTACCTCCATCCAGCTGTGGGGAGCTCCCAGCGCTGTCCTCCAGCCCATGTGTGTGTGTGTGTCCCATCCGCCCCCCCACGATGCTTCTCCTTTCCCCCTCCTGCGCGCCAGCGGCGGGGCGCAGGGCCCTGCAGGCTCACGCTCGCTCCCTCCCACCCTACTCACATCTGGACGCACTTTCAGGTAGATCTTCTTCTCGTGGTTGTACCAGAGCTGCTGCGGGGTCTTGGGCTTCTCGGGCACGTCCGACTTCTTGGTGTTCTGGATGAGATCCGGGTGATCCTCTCTTTACCCGGCACGGAAGGGAGAGCGTTACGGAGGGTGCAGGAGGAGGAACACCCCCCAAGCCTCCCCAGTGAGGGGTGAGCATCACTGCAGGGCTGAGCCTCAGGGACTGGGGGAATCGGCCCCCTCCTCGGGGAGCATCAGCTTTGAGCATCCCCCGTTAAAGCATCCCTGCAGGGCATTGGGAATGCTGGGATCCATCCTGGGCACAGCCATCACCTTCGAAGGGAAGGTCTGGGGGGGATGGATCAGAGCTCCAGCTCGGAGCAGGGCTGGGGGCAGAGCTCCTGTCCTCCCCTCGCAGCCCCCAGGGCAGGGCTGATCCCTCTTGCCTTGGGGCTGCCCTCAGCTGCCTTTTCCTTGCTCTGTGTCTCCAGTGCCTCCCCTTCCCTTCTGCTCTCCCGGTGCCCATGGCTGAGCTGCACCCAGGGGCTGCCCACTCACCTGAACCTCGCCAGGTTCCTCTCAAACTCCTGCTTCTCCCGCTGGAAGTCCTGGATGTATTTCATCTGGGGACACAAACCCACCGGGGGGGGGGGGGTGTGAGATGGGGACGTCTCCTCCAGCATCTCCCATTGCTCGGAGCAGATCCTGCCCCTGCATCCCTGACCGAACCCCAGCGCTAAACACGGATCCACCCAGCAGCCAAGCCACCAGCCAGGCCCGTCTGGGAGAGACGGACCAAGGGACCAGCCTCCACCCCACGGATCCTGGGAAGCAGGGCAGGAGAAGCACAGGAGGCCCTACTGGTCTGACGGGCCTGAGCAAGCACCTGGGGTTCTCCCATCCAGAGCCCGGGCCCTGCTGGTTTCACTGGGAAGGCAGAGCCCGGCACGGGGAGGATCACAACGGGAAGGGGCTCAGACTCCCCCCCTGTACCTTTTTCTTCTCAGGAAGCTCCTTGTACTTCTTGGAGAGGATCTTGGTGAGATCCAGGTTGCTCATTTCGGGGTGCAGCTTCGCGTATTTAGCCCGCTTCTCCATGAAGAAGCGGAAATAGGGAGTCAGGGGCTTCTTGGGGAAGTCGGGGTGTTTCTGGGGAGAGAGGGGAGCAGCGTGGGCTGAGCGTGGAGCCAGCCCAGCCAGAGCCCACCCAGCGCTGCCTGCATCCAGCTCCCTGCCGTGGGAACTGGGAATCCCGGGAGCAGCCTCCAGCGGGCACAGAGCGCTGCAAGAGGGGAAACTGAGGCAGCGGGAAGGGGACGGGGCAGAGCATCGGGTGCCCAGCAGCCAGGAATAGGCCGGCAGTTTCCTGCCCCCCCCACCCCAGAGCTAAACTTGGCTGCAGCAGCAGTGACCGTGTTCCATGTCCCCTGCTTGGCCAGGACCCAGCTCCTGCGGCCGGGGCAGTGGCGCAGGGATTACAGCAGGGAGGTGCCTGCAGGGGCTCTGGTGAGAATGGGGGCACCCCCTGCAGTGTCCGACCCCAAGCCCTGCCGGGTACCTTCAGCTTCTTGCCCTTGTAAGGGTTCTTCACGTGCTCTTCAGCGTCCATGATGAGCTCTGTGAGGGTGCGGAACTTCCTCACCTGGGGTACGGGAGCACACACGTGTGAACACGCTTGGCATCACCCCACGGTACTCCCTAAGAACACCGTCCCCACGCCGCTGAGGGGCTCCCAACGCCAACAGCAGGGGGATGGCAGCAGCACTAAGGGGGGCACCGATCCCAAGAGCCCTGGAACGCCACTGGGATACCCGGTCCCTCTCACAGCCCCCCCCTCCATCCCTTAGGTACCTCGTTGGAAATCTCCATCCACTTCATCCTGCACATCTCCCCCGAGAAGTCCTTGAAAGCCACCTTCTCCCAGTCCAGGTGGGACTCGGTGGTTTTGAACTTGCTCCCGTCGTTGGAGGGCAGGTTGTTCTTCATGCACTCCAGCAGGGTCAGCATGTCCTCCTGCGACCAGCGCTCTGAAAGCACAGCAACAGCCTTAGGAGGAGGCACCATTCCCGGCGGGATACAGGGATGACAGCTCCCGGCGTGCGGCTCCGGCCCGGGACACGTAATGCTGCCTCTTGGGATTAAAGGGATGGGGCTGTTTCCATCACCCTGGAGCAGCTCTCCACAGGCCAAAATCTGGGCAAAGCTGGAAACCCACTGGGGAGGAAGCAGGGAGCTCATCCCAGCGCTCCACCAGGTACGGGGATGCAGGGAGCACAGGGGTCATGGTCATTCCCTCCGCACGGCAGAGCTCGAACCCCACTTCCCAAGTGCTAACCGTGCATCCAGAGCAATGGGAAAGCCCCAGAGCTGCCTTTCCTTCATGTGGGAGAGCCTCAGCATCCCATGGGATGGAGCTCCACGGTGACCTCTGCCAAGGTCAAAGCTCAGAGCTCGCAAAGCAAAGGCCTCAGATGGGGACAGCACAGCCGGGCATGGATTGAGGGGAGCAGAGAACCATGGAATCAGCCAGCTCGGAAAAGCCCTTTAATCTCCCCCAGTCCAACCCTTAACCCCAGCCCTGCCAAGGCCACCCCTAACCCATGGCGCTGAGGCCTCGTCTCCACGCTGTGTGAACACTTGCAGGGCCGGTGCCTGCAGCCCTGCCCTGGGCAGCCTGTTCCAATGCCTGAGCACCCTCTGGGGCAGGAATTGTTCCTCAGCTCCATCTAAACCTGCCCTGGTGCAGCTTGAGGCCGGTTCCTCTTGTCCCATCCCTTGTTCCTTGTGAGCAGAGCCCAGCCCCTCCTGGCTCCATCCTCCTGTCAGGCACTTGTAGGCAGCCATCAGGTCCCCCCCTGAGCCTTCTCTGCTCCATCTGAACCCCCCAGGTCCCTCAGCCGTTCCCCATCACACTTGGGCTCCAGGCCCTGCACCAGCCCCATTCCCTTCTCTGGACCCTTCACCTCCATCCCTGTCTCCCCACTCCTCCCTTCATCCCCAGCAGTGATTTCACCTCCTGGCCCTCTCGCTTTGGGGGGGGGGGTTTGTCTCTGTGATGGATTCATTTGGGGGGGGATGGAAAGAGCCCCCCATAAAGGGAGCCCTGCAGCTTAGAACGTGCCTGCAGAGCCCCGAAACCTCATAAAGGGGGGAAAGAGATGGGAATTCCCTGCTGCAGGGAGGGGGACAGGAGCTGAGCCCCAAGCCCTATATTCTGTCTCCCTGTTTTCCCACCCACTTCCAAACGCAAGGAGCACAGAGGCAGAAGGGAGCCGCGGAGCTGGTGCCCCCTTCACGTGCAGCCGGACCACGGAGCTCAAGTGGGGAGGCCAAAGGGGCTGAACCCCCCCCCCCGTGCCTCAGTTCCCCCTCTCCAAAGCAGGAAGCCCCGGATCCCTTCATCCCTGGGTGACCCCGGCCAAACCAACCCCAGCGACCCCATGGGAACTGCGGGAAGCTCCCAGGACCCCTCCGCGGCAGCAGGATGGGGACCCCGTGCTCAGCACCCCAACACCCCCATCGCTGCCCGCGCAGGGCCCAGCACCATGGGGCTGTGAGCGCCCCGAGCCTGATTTATCCCGGCTCTATATTAGGAAAGCTTTCCCGGTGTAATTAAACCCCGGTGGAGCTCGGGGCAGGACACGTGCTGCCCACCGGGGCACGGGAGGACACGGGCTGGTCCTGGGGTGCTGGGGGGGGGCTGCCCTAGAGGAGAAGCCCCTTTAGCCCCCGTGTCTCCTGGTTTCCCTGCCCCTTTTCCAAGCGGAGCTGAGGCTCTGATGTCATCCCAAGGGCTGGGAGCCGGAGAGGCCCAAGGTAACGGCTCCTAATGCGGGCCAGATGTGAGCAGGGGAAGGCAGCACCGCTTTGTGCCAGCCCCCCTCAAGCCACAGCGTTCCCAATGTCTGCATCCCTGTGCGGGATCGGGATGCTCCACCCCTCGCACCCGTTGATGGGGTCTCTCCGCGAACCCCCCGGCATTCCCATGGGATGCGGGGCTCACCTTGGTTCTTGGGAGCTGTCATTTCCAGGTCCGCAGGGCACTCGGCTTCGCCGTTCATCCTCCTCCTCCTCGCTGGCTACCGGAGATCACTCCCGCTCGGCTCTGCAGGCAGAGGAGAGCCCTGGTGACACCCCCACACCGGGATCCGCTCCCATCCCATCACCGTGAATGGGGGGCTGGGATCCACCCCTGTGGGGTTCGGGGTCGAGAATGGTGGCAGGACCAGAGAAAAGGGGGGCAAGGGAAAGGGGCTCAAGGGGAGAAGGGTTTAGGGGGGGATATGGATCCGTATGAGGGGGATCTGAGTCAATAGGGATGTGAGGGGGGACACCAAAGATCCATCGAGATCCTGCTCAGAGGAGAGAGGGATCCCCAGATCCATTTGTGCCCATTTGGGGGGCTCTGGGGGGAGGGATCAGGGCTCTCCCATAGCGGGGCCCACAAGGGAAGGGGGAGATTCCAGCAGATCCCAGCAGGAGCTCCTCATGGCTCCATGGGGCAGGGCCATGGGGGGGGGGGCTGCAGCAGGCGAGAGGCCTTAAGGGGGGCACCCCATAACTTATGGGGGGGAACAGGAAGCAGAGGGGGGGGCCCACGGAGGGGCTGGAGACCTCCGGGCAGCACCCATGGGGCCGGGAGCAAGGCCCAGGCCTGGGCAGGGGGCGCCGGGCCTAGGGCACGGCGGGGGGGTGGGAGGGGTGCGGGAACAGCGGGGATCCCGCGGGAGGGGGGAGGGAGAGGCGGGATCGCGGCGGGAGGGGAGGGAGGGATCCACCGGATCCACCGGGGCGGGGCGCTGCGCGCGCACAGGGATCCCCGGGGGGGGGTGCGGGATCTCCCCCCCCCCACGGGAGGACGGGACCGGATCCCGCGCCTGAGGGGGGGGGGGCAGGAGGAGGAGGAGGAGGCGGGGGAGGAAGGGGCCGGGCCGCGGGCGGGGGCGGGGAGCCCGCACATGCCCTGCGCCGCCGGCCAGCGCCAGTCTCCTCCTCCGCCAGGCAGCAGGAACCGGGTGGGACCGAGCGCGGGCGGCCCCGGCGGCGCCTCCCCGGCCCCCTCCCGCACCCGGTGCCCTCCCGGGCGCCACCGAACCGCGCTCCACCGCCGCCCCCCCCCTCCCCTCCGCCCCGCTCCGCTCCCCCCCGCGGCGCACGGGAACACAATGGAGGCGAGTGCGGGGCAGCGGATGGGGGGGGGCGCTCCCCCGGCCCCGCGGTGCGCGGCGGGTCCCGCACCCCCCATCCCCATCCCCGGGTCCTCTCTCTCCCCCCCCCCCTCCCGTCTCCCTTTTCCGCTCCCCGTGGTTACCGGCCGGCGCTCTCCGCCGCGGCACACAATGGCCGGGCTGCGCCCGCCTCCGCCCGCCGCTCCTTCCCCTCCACCCGTGCAGCCGGCGCGGTTATAAAGCCGAGACAAACCCACCTCTCCGGGCTGCAAGGGGGAGGAGGAGGAGAGGAGAGAAGGAGGAGGAGGAGGTGGAAGGAGGAGGAGGAGGAGGGGGGGAGCTCGAGCCGAGCCGCCGCAGCCCCAGCCCCGCGCCGGAGCCGCTGGGGGAAGGAGAAGAAGAAGGAGAAGAAGGAGGAGGAGGAGGGGGAAGGGGGGGCGGGGATGCCCGGCTGGGGGCGGCCGGGCAGCTGCAGGAGCCGGGCGAGGGCAGCGCGACCTCCCCGCACCGACCCCCGGGGAGCGGCTCCTGCCCAATCCTTCCCCCCCCCTCCCCGCTCCCCACCACCACCGCCGCCCCCTCCTCCTCTCCCCCCCGCTCCGCGACCCCTCCTCGAGCCCACAAGCACCCACCCACCCAGCGGGGGGCTGCAGCCCCGCTCCGGGTCCGGGGGGGAAGAAAGGAAGAGAAAGAAGCGATGGGGAGGACGGGGTGGGGGGGAGCGGGAGCGGAAAAAAGGAAAACGGGAAAAAACACACAAAAAAAGAAAAAAAGGAAAGGGAAAAAAAATGAGGGGGGGAAATAGGGAAAAAAGGGATAAAAGGGTGAAAATCGAGGTAAGGGAGGTGCGGGGGGGGGGGGGGAGCGGACGAGCCCGGGCACGCACCGGCGCCGAGCTCCCCGCCGCGGCGCGGGACTCACCCGGGCTGGGGAAAAACAAGCGCGGAGCGCTGGAAGCCTGCCCCCGAAATCCAGCTGCGGCAGCCGGGAGGGAGGGAGGGCGAGCGGGAAGGAGGGAGGGAGCGAGGAGGAGGAGAGGGAAGGGAAGGGAAGGGAAGGAGGGAGGGGGGGGCACACCGAGGCCGCCGAGCCGGGCGCTCTCCCCCGCCCCGAGCCCCAGCGCGGTGCCCCCGCGGAGCGAGCGGCGGCGGCGGCTTCCTGCCCGCGGGGCCTGCGCGAAAACGGCGCCTTTTGTGCCCTGGATCCGGTGTAAAAATGCGGCTTTTCCCCCCAAAAACACCCCCTGGACCCCCCCCCCCTCCGGCCGCCTGAGCTCCCCCCTACCCGCGGAGCGGCGGCGGCGGCGGCCCCTTACCGAGCCCGGTGCGCGGCGGCGGGACCCGGGCAGGAACAAAGCGCCTCCTCCAGCCCCGCCGGCGGAGCGGAGCGGCGGCGAATGGCGAGCCCGGGCGGCGCAGGCAGGGCTGAGCTCGGCTCCGTTCCGCTCCCCCGGCGCAGGCACGTACCTGCGGGCCCGCGGCTTTGGGGGGCCGCGGCTCGGCGGGGCCGGGGCTCGCTCGGCGGGGCCGGGGCGGGGAAGCGGCGGTTGAACGGCGGCCAGCTCTGCAGCGCTGGCCCCGGGCGTGGACGCGCTCCAGTCCCCGCAGAGACGATCGCGCTTTCCCCCGCCTCCATGGCGCTGCGTTCGCTCTTCCAATCAGCCGGGCTCTGCGCGCCGGGGTCCGCCGCCAGCCTCCGCCGCTCCCCGAGCGCCGCCGCCCCGCGCTCCCGCCGCCTCCGCCGCCTATTTTATTGCTCTTTGCTTTTGCAACACTGTGGCGAGAAGAAAAAGAGGAGGAGGAGGAGGAGGAAGGAGCAGAGGAGGGAAAGGGGGGGGAGGAAGGGGAGAGAAGGGAGGAAGGAAAAAAAATCTCCTTACATGTGCAACAATCCTCGCCCGGCGTTTGCATGAGAAAAAGGAGATAAAAAGACGGAGGGGAGGGAGCGGAGGGGGGGGATTGGGGGGGGAACGGACCCGGTGGGTCCCTTCGGTGGGTCCCTGCCCGCCCCGCGGCCCCGGGACACGGCGGCGGGGAGGGGATCCCCCGGCGGGGCGGGCGAGGGGCAGTTTCCTCCTTCCCTCCCCGCGCTCCCGTTCTCTCCTCTCCTCTCGCTCTTAATTTTTTTTAATGCAATTTCTCCAACTCCACCTTTGTTGTGTTGGGCGTCATTCCCCGCAGCCAATCCCGGCCGGGCAGCTGCCTGCACGTTACCGGCCATCCCGAGCTGCCTGCACATCGCGGGCTCTCCCCGGCCTGCCCGCACGCTGCTACCGGACACCCCGGGCCCGGCTGCTCCAGGCCGCGGCGCGCTCCCGGCACCCTGCGCGCTGCCGCCGAGCTCGGGCCGCTTGCGTGGTGCTGCCTGCCCGTGTGCTGCCGCCGGGCTGCGGCCATGGCTGCGCTGCCGCTGCCTGCGCGCTGCCTGCTGCCGGCTGCAGTGTGCTAGCGCTGCCTGCGAGCTGCGGCCATGGCTGTGCTACCGGTTCCCTATGCACCACCGGTGCTTGGCATCTGCCTGCTGCCGGCTGCAGTGTGCTAGCGCTGCCTGCGAGCTGCGGCCATGGCTGTGCTACCGGTTCCCTATGCACCACCGGTGCTTGGCATCTGCCTGCTGCCGGCTGCAGTGTGCTAGCGCTGCCTGCGAGCTGCGGCCATGGCTGTGCTACCGGTTCCCTATGCACCACCGGTGCTTGGCATCTGCCTGCTGCCGGCTGCAGTGTGCTAGCGCTGCCTGCGAGCTGCGGCCATGGCTGTGCTACCGGTTCCCTATGCACCACCGGTGCTTGGCATCTGCCTGCTGCCGGCTGCAGTGTGCTAGCGCTGCCTGCGAGCTGCGGCCATGGCTGTGCTACCGGTTCCCTCACCCATCACCGGTGCTTGGCATCTGCCTGCTGCCGGCTGCAGTGTGCTAGCGCTGCCTGCGAGCTGCGGCCATGGCTGTGCTACCGGTTCCGTACCCATCACCGGTGCTTGGCATCTGCCGGCCGCATGGTGCTATCGCTGCCTGCGAGCTGCGGCCAGGCCACGCCACCCCGTGCTGCTGGCTCCCTGCGCGCTCCCCGACCTTGGTACCTGGGTGCTACCGGCTGCAATGGGCTCTGGCTGCCCCCGTGCTGCCGCCGACCTGCGGCCGTGCCACGCTGCCGGAGCTTGGCACTGGTGCGGTACCGGCTGCTCGCACCACCGCTGAGCCCCGGCTCTCCACGTGCTACCGGCCAGGCCGGCGCAGGCAGCTCCACGGGCACCCGCAGCCAAGGGATGGGGAGCGGGAAGCGGTGAAGACCCCCCCAGGGGTGCGGGATGAGGGCTGGGAACGCAGGAATGCGGGCTGCAGGAACGGCCGAAAGCCGGGGGGGTGTTCACCCCTGTTTCTATGTAAGACATTAACACATATGGGTGCAATGGACCCCCCTGCAGTGATTTGGGGGTGATGGGGTGAGCCCAGCTGTGCAAGGGGGTTATCCCCAAGAGAAGGCTCAGATAGTTGCACCAAATATTTCACACCCATCACATGAAAATCGTCAGTTTGAAACTTTTAACTTGGTTTTTGGAACCAAAACCCCGGGGGGGGGGGAGGGGAGGTGCCAATGTGCTGCAGTCCCAGGGCCGCACAGCTCCCCCCCACCCTTGCAATGTGGTTGTGGGGATTTTGCTGCCTCTGGGGACCCCAAAGGCTTGGAAACCCCCCCCCTCCCCAACACTGGGGACCCCTCCAATGCGCACCCCAAACACATCCTCGCTGCTCACCCTATGTGCAGGCAGCCATAGGGGTGCAGGCAGCCATAGGGGTGCAGGCAGCCATAGGGGTGCAGGCAGCCATAGGGGTGCAGGCAGCAGGGCAGAGATACAAAAGAGCTTGACCTAAATTCCACCCCCCCCCCGCCGCCCCAGCCCAGGCTGGATCTCATGGCAGTGACCTCGCTGTGCTCCCAGGGAATAAATCCCTCTTCCCAGTGTGGCCTTGGGCTGAAAACCCCAGCCATGTGCTGCTGTTCCCAGCAAGCAAGAGCTGGCTGCAGTACTGGACTTGTAAACCCAATGGGATGTATCCCAGCCCCATGGAGAGACTCTGGGGGCACGCCTGGGGGCAGCCGCAGGCACTGACCCCGATGCCTGCCCCATGGCACACAGGAACATCCCTTCCCACGGCCCCGGGGCCAGTGTATTCCATGAGGAAGCACCATCGGCTGCTCCCATTAGTGAGATTATGGGTAATTGGGGTCAATGTAGAGCCGGGGTTAGGGTTAGGGTCCCTGGCAGGCGGCTCAGTGTGTGTCCCCCACATGGACACAGTCACAGCCATGGGGCTGGCAGGAATGGGGCAGTGCCATGGGGTGAGGGGGGCTGAGCATCCCAGGGATGCCAGGATGCAGCTGTGGAGAGCACCCCAAGAATAACTTTGGGGAGCATCGTTGGGAGCATTCCAGGATAGCTGTGATGGTTGTGGGGAGCATCTGGGGATGGCTGCAGCAGGCACCCTGGGATGCAGCAAGTGTACTGGGATGGCTGTGGGGGAGCATCACTGGGAGCACCCTAGCATGCCAGGATGCATCACGTATCCAGGATGGCTGCAGAGAGCATCCCAGGATGGCCACATAGAGCAACTGGGGATGCCAGGATGCAGCAAGCATCTGGGGATGGGGAGCATCCTGGGATGACCATTGGGAGCATCCCAACATGGCCATGGAGAGTCAGGGGATGGCTGCAGTGATTCCACAGGGTGCCAGGATGCAGCAAGCATCTGGGGATGGGGAGCATCCTGGGATGACCATTGGGAGCATCCCAAAATGGCCATGGAGAGTCAGGGGATGGCTGCAGTGATTCCACAGGGTGCCAGGATGCAGCAAGCATCCTGGGATGCCATGGCAAGCATCTTGGTGCAGCTGCACTGAGCATCCTGGCATGGGGACACCCCCCCCCCCAAATGTGCTGTTTTGGGGTAGCAATTAAATGAGGGACACCCTGCTCCCAGCAAATCCCAATGGAAAACAACCCCAATTCCTCTTGGATTTTATTAATTTCTTTATTAAAGCCTCATACAGAAGGGGGGGGGAGGCGAAATAACCCCCAAAGCTCACAACAAGAGTGATTTCAGACACATAATAAAACTAAACCAACCCAAACATGAGGCAGTGCTTCCCCCCCCCCCCCGATTTTGGGGTGTCCCCCCTTGATTTATACCTAAAGGAGTCAATTCACAGCCTGACCGGTTGCTGGATCCAGGGCAGGAGCATCCTTTGGCAGGATGCAGGAGCAGGGGGATGCTTGGCCTGTTTGGGAGCAATCCCAGTGGGAACAGGGAAAGAGGCAGGCAGCAAGGAAGGGAAAAATCAAGGAAAACTGCACAATTGAACTATATATATATATGTGGAATGCTATCAAATAAAAAGGAATGGTGCTACCACTAAATCATGAGTGAAATGACACTGGTGGACTGGTCCATGGAGTTTAGGCCCTGACCAGGATCCTTTAAATCAACTCTTCTGGAATATACTAACATTCCCTATGGATTCTCTCTGGTATATACACACACACACGCACACGGGGGCACAATCAGCAATAAATTACAGGCTCCCCCCAAACCCAGCATCAAATATACAGAATCCCCCCTTGCAGCACACGTGGATTTGGGGTTTTCCTCCTTTTTCTATCCCTTTTTAAGGTGCTTTTGGTGGATTTGTGTTTGGTTTGGGGGAGTTTTCCTGCAGAAGCATCGTGGGATGGTTTTGGGGTGATTTTAGCGTGGTTCTCTTCATTACATGTATAAACCCTCTGGCTGCATTATGTACATCCCAACCCTGGGAGATGCTGGGAGCGCAGCGGAGCTGCCGGATGCTCTCACTGGAGCAAGTGATGGGATAAAGGGGGGAAAAGGGCTCTGTGGGCTCTGTCCCGTGCTCATTAGCACTGGAAGTTCATAGGGAAAGAGGGATCAGGGCATGGGGGTCCCCAGTGAAGGGAATGGGGGAATCCCATTGCAGATCCACCCCTGCTGCATTGCCCCATCCCTGAGGGCTCCAGCGTCTTCCTCCGGCTCCTCTCCCTGTGCTTGGTGCCCGGTCACAGCCCCAGTGTGGCCTTGGGGCCGGGATGGGGCACCTGTACCATGGGGTTGGGGCGGCCCATGGGACCAGCCTGTTCCCCCATGGGGAGCGAGGGGCGGGTGAGCTCACACCATCCAAAGTGTATCAAAAACAGGCAAAAAAGGGGGGAATCCATCCAAAAGCTCCATTCACAGCGGGAATGCGGGACCCCAGGTCCCCCAGCACCCAGGGTGGCAGCAGTGGGGGTGCGGGGCCGGGGGGCAGCGGGCCCTTAGCTGGGCATCTGCACCTCGTTGTACACGTCTGTGCCCTCCACCTCCTCGAAGGTCACCACAGCATCGTCTGCATCCAGCTGGAGACAGGAGAGGGCGTTGGGATGGGGACGTGGATGGGGATGGGGATGGGGATGGGGACAAGGAGGGAGTGGGGAGGGGTCAGGAATAGGGGCAGGATTGAAGGCAGGGGCAATGACAGGGATGGAGGCTGAGGTGGGGCTGGGATAGATATGGGAATAGAGGCGGGGATGAGGATGGGGATGGGAATGGGGCAGGGACAAGTATGGAGCTGTGGACAGGGATGGGGATGGGCAGGGGAATGGGGACAGGGATGAGCAGAAGGGATGGGGATGGACAGAAGAATGGGCAAAGGGATGGGGAGAGGGATAAGAATGCGGCAGGGACAGGAAAGGGCCACGGATGGGGATGAGGATGGAGATAGGGATGGGGATGGGCAGAGGGATGGGGACAGAGGGATGAGGATGGAGATAGGGATGGGGACAGAGGGATGGGGATGAGGATGGAGATAGGGATGGGGATGGAGAGGGATGGGGTGGAAGGGATGGAGGGATGGGGAGGATGGGGATGGGGATAGGGATGGGGACGGGATGGGGATGGGATAGGATGGGAAGGATGGGGATGGGATAGGATGGGATGGGGATGGGATGGGGACAGGGATGGGGATGAGGATGAAGATAGGGATGGGGATGGGACAGAGGGATGGGGATGGGGATGGGCAGAGGGTTGGGGACAGAGGGATGGGGATGGGGATGGGCAGAGGGTTGGGGACAGAGGGATGGGGACAGGGAAAGGTATGAGGATGAAGATAGGGATGGGGATGGACAGGGGGATGGGGACAGGGTTGGGGATGAGGATGGAGATAGGGATGGGGATGGGGACAGAGGGATGGGGATGAGGATGGAGATAGGGATGGGGATGGGCAGAGGGATGGGGACAGAGCGATGGGGATGGGCAGAGGGTTGTGGACAGAGGGATGGGGACAGGGAAAGGTATGAGGATTAAGATAGGGATGGGGATGGGCTGAGGGATGGGGACAGAGGGATGGGGATGGGGATGGAGATAGGGATGGGGATGGGCAGAGGGATGGGGACAGGGATGGGATGAGGATGGAGATAGGGATGGGGATGGGCAGAGGGATGGGGACAAAGGGATGGGGACAGGAATAGGGATGAGGATGGAGATAGGGATGGGGATGGGTAGAGGGATGGGGATGGGCAGAGGGATGGGGACAGGGTTGAGGATGAGGATGGAGATAGGGATGGGGATGGGCAGAGGGATGGGGATGGGCAGAGGGATGGGGATGGGCAGAGGGATGGGGACAGGGTTGGGGATGAGGACTGAGATAGAGATGGGGATGGGCAGAGGGATGGGGACAGAGGGTTGGGGACAGAGGGATGGGGACAGGGATGGGGATGAGGACTGAGATAGAGATGGGGATGGGCAGAGGGATGGGGACAGAGGGATGGGGACAGAGGGATGGGAATGGGCAGAGGGATGGGGACAGCCCCGCGGTGGCCCCCAGCCCGTGCCGGGGCTACGTACACATTTGAGCTCGATGTCCCGGAAGATCTTGGGCAGGAGGAAGCGCCGCAGGGGCACAGTGAGGATGAGCACGAAGGGCAGCGCCAGCGAGGCCGGGGTGGACTTCACCACCCAGAGCAGCACCAGCACAATGATCTGCGTGAAGGTGAAGAGGTGCATCCGCCACGTCTTCACCTGCGGGACCAGGAGCACAGCGGCGTCAAAGGGGGGGTCCAGCAGCCATGGGGGAGCGTCTTTGGGGAGCCCCAATAGGGGGCAGCCGCACTCACCCGGGTGACGTAGGGCTCGTCGGGGTGGTACTTGGGTGGCATCAGCAGGAGCAGGATGCGGTCAAAGAGCTGGATGCCGAAGAGGGAGGTGACGCCCATGTAGAGGAAGATGCCGAAGAGCACGGAGAGCGGGATGTACTTGAGGATGGGCTCCATGAGGATGGAGACGCCTGCGGAAGAGGAGGAGAGGTTGGGGGCAGCCCCCAGGGGCACCCAGCCCTGCTTTGCCCGTGCTGGGGACCCCGTCCCCTGCTCACCGATGAGCACGGCCACCAAGAGGCCACTGATGCGCTGCTCCTTGACCTCCAGGATCTGGGATTTGTCGCCGGGAGCAGTGGCTTTGCTCATGACGGTGAGGGCGTTGGCGTGGGTGATGGTGCGCACCGTGGTGGCGCTGAGCCAGGGCATGCCGAAGAGCGCGGCCAGGCCCCCCATGGCCACGATCAGCAGCAGGTCCAGGTGGAAGCCGGAGCCCTTCACCAGCTTCCTCTCGGGCTTGCTCACGATGAGGCTGTTGGGAACGGAGGGGATGAGGTGGTGAGAAGCACCCTGGGGACGTCCCCTCCATCCCCATCCCATTGGATGCTCCGTCCCGCTCCAGCCCCATTCCCGGTGCTCACGTGGTGATCTGCGTCTCCAGGAAGATGAGGATGAAGACGAGGAGCGCGGGCACCACGGAAGCGAACATCATCCAGATGGGGAAGGTCTTCTTCTCGCCCATGGGGTTGATGAACCAGCCCCGGGCGGACGAGTTGGTGACCTCCAGCCCTCGGGGGACTTTGAGTTTCTGGATGGGAGCAGAGACGGGGCAGTGAGGGCACAGGGACGAGCACCCCGCTCCGTGCCCCCTCGCTGGGGACACCCCCAAACCTCCCGCTGCGCCCAGACCTGCGTGTACGTGTCCTTGATGAAGAAGTCGGCCAGCGCCATGATGAAGATGGAAATGGGCACCCCAAAGTCCCCGATCAAGCGCCGGGCCTGTGGCAGGGGGATGGACACCGTGACCATATTAAACCCACCTGTGTCCCCCCCCATGCCCCCCATCCCATCCCCACCAGCAGCAGCTTCAAGCAAAGGGCTCTGCAATGAGTTTGTGGGGTCTCAGCCAAGGACCCGCACACCCTGCATGGGATATGGGGCCACCCCCGTGTGCCCCCCCTTCCCATGCTCACCCTGCCGGGCAGGAAGGCGCTGTTCTTGAACTTGCGGAGGAAGAAGGCCAGGAAGAAGGTTCCGGCCATGAGGACGAGGGACAGCAGCGCCGTGTTGGGCTCCGGCACGCCGGGCTGCACCTCGTCCTGCACATCGTACCGGCGCGAGAGGGGATGCGCCTTGAAGATCTGCGGGGGGAAGGAGAGGGTGAGGGTGGGATCCTGCTGGGGGTGATGGGGGGGCTCCTGCATCCCTCTGGGGATGCTGGTGTGGGTGCGCGCCTGGTGCACCCCAAGAGTTCACAGCTACAGGTTGGTATAGGGGAGATTCAGAGCAGCCCAAGGAGGAGGACTTGGGGGTGCTGGTCAATGAGAAAATGAACATGAGCCGGGTTCAGTGTGCGCTTGCAGCCCAGAAAGCAACCGTATCCTGGGCTGCATCCAAGGGAGTGTGACCAGCAGGTCGGAGGAGGTGATCCTGCCCCTCTGCTCTGCTCTCGTGAGACCTCACTTGGAGCATTGTGTGCAGTTCTGGTGTCCTCAACATAAAAAGGACATGGAGCTGTTGGAACGAGTCCAGAGGAGGCCACGAGGATGCTCAGGGGCTGGAGCAGCTCCTGTATGGAGCCAGGCTGAGAAAGTTGGGGCTGTTCAGCCTGGAGAAGAGAAGCTGCGTGGAGACCTCAGAGCAGCTTCCAGTGTCTGAAGGGGGCCTATAGGGATGCTGGGGATGGGCTCTTCATTAGGGACTGTAGTGACAGGACAAGAGGTAATGGGTTAAAACTGAAACAGGGGATGTTTAGATTGGATATAAGGAGGAAATTCTTTCCTGTTAGGGTGCTGAGGCACTGGAATGGGTGCCCAGGGAGGTTGTGAATGCTCCATCCCTGGCAGTGTTCAAGGCCAGGTTGGACGAGGCCTTGGGTGGCATGGTTTAGTGTGAGGTGTCCCTGCCCATGGCAGGGGGGTTGGAACTTGATGATCTTTAGGTCCTTTCCAACCCAAACTGTTCTATGATTCTATGACTCTAAGATGCTATTGACCCTCCTGGCTGCATGAGCACACTCATCACCTTTCCTCCATGCTCCCTCAGGAACAGGGCACAATGGGGACAATGAGGCTGTGATGGGGTTCAGGGTGGGATGGAACCTGTGTCCTGCCTGTCCAGCACCAGAGATGTCCCTGTGGGCCCCCAGTGTGCATGGGGTGGCACCGTTCCCACCGGGAAAGGGCTGAGCCAGGGCAAGGGGAAGGAATCAGCCTGGGCTTCACCTCCCTGAGCCCAAATCCCCTTGGGAATGGGGAGGAGAGGGGCTCCGTCCCTCCTGCTGGTCCTATGGGTGCTGAGCACAGGGTGCCCCCCGCACGCACCGTGACGAGCTTGGAGAAGGTCTCGAAGATGAAGATGAGGGAGATGAGGAAGGAGAAGATCTCCTGGGTGTAGCGGGACAGGTACCGCACCAGGAAGCTGCCCTCGCAGGCCACCACCACCAGCACCAGCAGCACGAGCCAGAAGCCAATCCAGACCCGGCCCACGATGTACTCCAAGCCATTGGCACTGCAGAACTGGGCAGAAGAGAGGGCACGGCCCCATCAGCCCCCCCATAGCCTCCACTGGGGGTCCAGGGTCCCAGCTCCTCCCTGGGGGCTGGCAGGTACCTTGGAGCAGCAGGATCCCTATGGGATCACCCAGCAGCCCCCGCCTGGCATCACCCATCAGCTACGTGGCATTACCCATATGGCATCACACCCCCCATATCGCCCCTATGCCATTGCCTGTGTAGCATCATCCCCATGCCGCCCACCGTGGTCCATCACCCCATGCCCACACTGGGGACCAGCAGCAGCAGGTGGGGGGCACCCAGGGGCGCAGGATGGACCCCCCCATCACCGACCCCCAGCCCCATGGACCCCCCCACCGACGCATCCCCATCACCCCACCATGGACCCCCCCACCACCCCCCCACCCATGGACCCCCATCACCCCCCCCAGCCCCATGGACCCCCCCTACCCAGCCCCATGGACCCCCCCCATCACCCCCCCAGCCCCGGGGACCCCCCATCACCCACCCCGGCCCATGGACCCCCCCCATCACTCCACCCAGCCCCATGGACCCCCCCATCCCCAGCCCATGGACCCCCACCACCCCCCCACCCATGGACCCCCCCATCACCACCCAGCCCAGGACACCCCCTCGACCAGCAGCAGCGGACCCCCCCATCCCCCAGCCCCATGGCCCATCACCACCCCCCAGCCCCATGGACCCCCCACCGCCCAGCCCATGGACCCCCCCATCACCCATCCCAGCCCCATGGACCCCCCCATCACCCCCCAGCCCCATGGCCCCCCCCATCACCCTCAGCCCCATGACCCCCCCACTCCCCTCCAGCCCCATGGCCCTCCCCACCACCCCCACCCCCATCCCCCCATCACCGACCCCCAGCCCCATGGACCCCCCCCATCACCCCCCCAGCCCCATGGACCCCCCCCCATCACCCCCCCCAGCCCCATGGACCCCCCCATCACCGACCCCCAGCCCCATGGACCCCCCCATCACCCCCCCCAGCCCCATGGACCCCCCCATCACCGACCCCCAGCCCCATGGACCCCCCCATCACCGACCCCCAGCCCCATGGACCCCCCCCCCATCACCCCCCCCAGCCCCATGGACCCCCCCATCACCGACCCCCAGCCCCATGGACCCCCCCCATCACCCCCCCCAGCCCCATGGACCCCATGTAGAAGGTCCCACCGAGTAGAAGGCTTCCTCAAAGACCAAGAGGGGCCCCGAGAAGCCGATGACGAGCAGGGGCTGGGCGCTGAGGATGCTGAAGAGCACACACTGCACACAGGTGGAGATGAGCAGCTCCGACACCCCCATCATGCCCTTGGTCTTCTCACCTGGGGGGAGCAGAGCCAGGAGGTGCTGGGTTAGGGGGTGCGATGACCCCCGCAAGAGCATCCCCATGGGGCAGGAGATGCTGCTGCAGGCGGGAGCACCCCAAGCCCAGCCCATCCCCATCATTACTGAGCAGGCCCCCGAAGGTGACAGCGGGTGACAGCGCCGCGAAGTAGATGAAGATGACAGCGGCCAAGCACTGGGGGCTCAGGAAGTCCTTGATGTCGCTGAGGTACTTGGGGTACCGGCGGCGGATGTCCCGCACCAGCCCCCCGAAGGGCCGCCCGGTCCGGCGCAGGGGGTCATCGTCCTCCGGAGCCGACCCGTTCAGCTCTGGGGACACAGGAGGAGGCCATGGGGACACCCGGGTGCAATGGGGGGGTCCATGGGGCTGGGGGGGGTGATGGGGTGGTCCATGGTGGCGGGGGGGTGTGATAGGGGGGTCCATGGGGCTTGGGGGGGGGTGATGGGGGTGTCCCATGGGTCTGGGGGGGGTGATGGGGGGGTCCCATGGGGCTGGGGGGGGTGATGGGGGGGTCCATGGGGCTGGGGGGGGGGGTGATGGGGGGGTCCATGGGGCTGGGGAGGGGTGATGGGGGGGTCCATGGGGTGGGGGTGGTGATGGGAGGGTCCATGGGGCTGGGGGTGGTGATGGGGTGGTGATGGGGGGGTCTGTGGGGCTGGGGGGGTGATGGGGGTGCCATGGGGCTGGGGGGCGGTGATGGGGGTGTCCCATGGGGCTGGGGAGGGGGTGATGGGGGGGTCCATGGGGCTGGGGGGGTGATGGGGGGTCCATGGGGCTGGGGGGTGATGGGGGTCCATGGGGCTGGGGGGGTGATGGGGGGTCCATGGGGCTGGGGGGTGGTGATGGGGGGGTCCATGGGCTGGGGGGGGTTGATGGGGGGTCCATGGGGCTGGGGGGGGGGGTGATGGGGGGTCCATGGGTGGGGGGTTGATGGGGGGTCCATGGGGCTGGGGGTGATGGTGGTCCATGGGACTGGGGGGGTTGATGGGGGGTCCATGGGGCTGGGGGGGGGGGTGATGGGGGGTCCAGGGGGGGGGGGGGGGGTGATGGGGGGTTATGGTGGGGGGGGGGGGTGATGGGGGGGTCCCATGGGGCTGGGGGGGGGTGATGGGGGGGTCCATGGGGCTGGGGGGCGGTGATGGGGGGGTCCATGGGGCTGGGGGGGGGGGTGATGGGGGGGTACGTGGGGCTGGGGGTGGGTGATGGGGGGGGTCCATGGGGCTGGGGGTGGGTGATGGGGGGGGCCCAGGTGGGGGGTGATGGGGGGGTCCATGGGGCTGGGGGGGGTGATGGGGGGTCCATGGGGCTGGGGGGAGAGGTGATGTGGGGGTTCCATTGATCCTACGTTTCATGGGGGGTCCATGGGGCTGGGGGGGTGAGGGGGGGTTCCCATGGGGCTGGGGGCTGTGATGGGGGTCCATGGGGCTGGGGGGCGTGATGGGGGGGTCCATGGGGCTGGGGGGGGTGATGGGGGTGTCCCATGGGGCTGGGGGGGGTGATGGGGGGTCCATGGGGCTGTGGGGGGGGGTGATGGGGGGGGTCCCATGGGGGTGGGGGGGGGGTGATGGGGGGTTTCCATGGGGCTGGGGGGGGTGATGAGGGGGGTCCATGGGGCTGTGGGGGGTGGTGATGGGGGGGTCCATGGGGCTGGGGGGGGGTGATGGGGGGGTCCATGGGGCTGGGGAGGGGTGATGGGGGGGTCCATGGGGCTGGGGGCGGTGATGGGGGGGGTCCATGGGGCTGGGGCGGGTGATGGGGGGGGTCCATGGGGCTGGGGTGGGTGATGGGGGGCTCCATACGCAGGTCTTTGAGGGGGTCCTCGATCAGCGGCGCCTCCGGGGGCCGGTAGCGGCGGCGGAGCAGCTCCTGCTGCAGCGGCACCAGGCTGCGGAGCAGCGGCTCGCTGGGGGTCTCGGTGGGGGGCACCACGATGCTGGCCTCCAGGAAGTCCTCGACGCCGCGGACCAGGTCCTGGCGCCCGTCGGCCAGGTAGGAATCACGGCGGAAGACCTGAGGAGGGCAGGGATAGGAGTGGGAATGGGGATGGGGGGTATGGGATAGCAGGGGAATGGGGATGGGGGTATGGGATAGCAGGGGAATGGGGATGGGGCGTATGGGATAGCAGGGGAATGGGGATGGGGGGTATGGGATAGAGGGGAATGGGGGGATGGGGGAATGGGATAGAGGGAATGGGGATGGGGGTATGGGATAGCAGGGGAATGGGGATGGGGGTATGGGATAGCAGGGGAATGGGGATGGGGGGTATGGGATGGGGGGTATGGGATGGGGGGTATGGGACAGGGGATATGGGATGGGGGGTATGGGATAGCAGGGGAATGGGGATGGGGGGTATGGGATAGCAGGGGAATGGGGATGGGGGGTATGGGATAGCAGGGGAATGGGGATGGGGGGTATGGGATAGCAGGGGAATGGGGGTATGGGATAGCAGGGGAATGGGGATGGGGGGTATGGGATAGCAGGGGAATGGGGATGGGGGCAAGGGACCACAGGGGAATAGGGATGGGGGGTATGGGATAGCAGGGGAATGGGGATGGGGGCAAGGGACCACAGGGGAATGGGGATGGGGGGTATGGGACCACAGGGGAATGGGGGTGGGGAGTATGGGACAACAGGAGGTGATGGCTTGGACATGTGGGGACACATGGGGACAAGGGGACCTCAAGGGGCATGGGCTCCACAGGGGAGCATGGGGCTACAGGGACACAGATGTGTGGGGATAGGAATGCGTATGGACACAGGGACCAGGGTGCATGTGGAGATGGGGACATGGGGACGGGGGTGCATGTGGACATGGGGACCCTGAAGGATGGGGCCAAGGGGACACCGGCATGGGGACAGCAGGGCCATGGGCACAGAGAGGGACCTGCCCCAGTGAGAGGGTGCAGCCCCAGGGGTGGCGGTGCGGGGATGCTCGGGGGGGTGGCACCATGGATGCAGTGGTGCCGGCTGCGCCGTACCCGCTCGGCCATCATGGTGGCCACGGCACGGCCGATCTCGTGGTAGCTGCTGTGGGGGCTGTCGGGGCCCAGGACCACGAAGAGGAAGCGGACGGGCAGGGACACGTCGAGGACGCCGTCCAGCATCACCGCGGCCTTGAGGCGCACGAAGGCCAGCGTGGGCTGGTCCAGGAAGGCTGCGCAGCCTGGGGGGAGGATGGGATGGGATGGGATGGGGGTCACGGGGGGTCTGGACACATGAGCACGGAGACATGGGGACAACAGGGGATGGAGGCAGGGGGACAGAGGCATGGGGATGTGAGGGGATTGGATAGGGGCAGAGGATGTGAGGACATCGAGGCACAGGAGCACAGGCACATGGGAGCACAGGGACATTGGGGCAGGGGGGACACGGGAGCACAGGAGGGTGTTGAGATGGGACGTGAGGACAAGGGACATGGGACGGGCACAGAGAGCAGCAGCACTGAGCAGGCCGTGGCGAGAGCTGCGCATGGGGAGAGGCAAAAGAGGTGCAAGCAAGTGAGCGAGCAGGAGTGAGGGGCAGACACCAAACCCACCCTGTGCGCCCCAACCCTGCACCCAGCACCCTGGCCCCCAGCCAGCCCCACTGCCCTGACCCCCACTGCCCGCTGAGCACTCACCCACAAGGACCAGGGTGGCCTCTGCATCCTCAGGGATCTTCTCATGGAGCTGGGGTCTGCTGGCCCCACTAAGGCTCTGTTGCAGGCAGAGCAATGGCAGGGATCAGCCAGGCAGCCTTGGGGACTGTCCCCTGCATGGTCCCCCCACCCCTTGCGTGTCCCCATCCATGTCCTTCGTGTCCCTATCCATGTCCTGCATGTCCCCATCCATCCCTTGCGTGTCCCCATCCATCCCCTGCGTGTCCCCATCCATCCCCTGCGTGTCCCCATCCATGTCCTGCGTGTCCCCATCCATGTCCTGCGTGTCCCCATCCATCCCTTGCGTGTCCCCATCCATCCCCTGCATGTCCCCATCTATGTCCTGCTTGTCCCCATCTACGTCCTGTATGTCCCCATCTACGTCCTGCATGTCCCCATCCACGTCCTGCATGTCCCTATCCATGTCCTTCATGTCCCCATCTACGTCCTGCATGTCCCTATCCATGTCCTGCATGTCCCTATCCATGTCCTGCGTGTCCCCGTCCAAGTCCTGCATGTCCCCATCTACGTCCTGCATGTCCCCATCCATGTCCTGCGTGTCCCCATCCATGTCCTGTGTGTCCTCATCCATGTCCTGCGTGTCCCCATCCATGTCTTGCATGTCCCCACCCATCCCCTGCATGTCCCTGTCCATGTCCTGCATGTCCCCGTCCATGTCCTGCATGTCCCCGTCCATCCCCTGCATGTCCCCATCCATGCCCTGCATGTCCCCATCCATCCCGTGCGTGTCCCCATCCATCCCCTGCGTGTCCCCATCCATGTCCTGTGTGTCCCCATCCATGTCCTGCGTGTCCCCATCCATGTCCTGCGTGTCCCCATCCATGTCCTGCGTGTCCCCATCCATGTCCTGTGTGTCCTCATCCATGTCCTGCGTGTCCCCATCCATGTCCTGCGTGTCCCCATCCATGTCCTGCGTGTCCCCATCCATGTCTTGCATGTCCCCACCCATCCCCTGCATGTCCCATCCATGTCCTACATGTCCTCATCCATCCCCTGCAAGTCCCTATCCATGTCCTGCATGTCCCCATCCTTCCCTTGCATGTCCCCATCCATCCCCTGCGTGTCCCCATCCATCCCCCGCCTGTCTCCACCCTTCACCCCGCCCCGCCGCACCCCGACCCCTCCCCGCCCGTGCCCTGACCCCGCACCGCTGCGCCCACGCCCCCGGCCCCTCTCGCCTGCTCTCCCCCCAGCCTGCGCATCTCCAGGGGCTGCTGCTCCCTCAGCAGCGGCTGCTCCGTGTCCGGCCGCCCCGTGCCCGAGCGCTGCAGCTGCGCCGGCGGCAGCGTCCCCGTCGATTCCGCCTCGCTGGGGTGCCTGGGGCAGCGGAGGCGGTGTCAGAGGGACCCCCAGAGCCCCAGGGGAGGCTGGAGCCCCACAGCGGGCGGGGGGCAGAGCCCGGGCACAGAGGGGCTTTGCCACCCGGTGCCGGGCTCCAGGGGGGAAGCACTGGGGCTGGATCCAGCCCAGACACGGGGGTCCCCCTCCCATGGGGCCATCAGCCGTGGCCGTACTTGTGCTGCAGCAGCAGCGTCCTCAGGATGTCCTCGCTGTCCTGCGGCTTGATCTGCCCCTCGTAGATCATCTGGTCGATGAGGACATGGGCGATGGCCGGCAGCGAGGTGGCCGCCACGTCGAGGAGCACGGCACCTGCAGGGACAGCACCGTCACCGGCCGGGCGGCACCAGGACCCCGGCGCCTCCCCGGCCCCATCCGGGGTCCCCACCTTTGGCCAAAGCCCGTCGGACCTCCAGGAGGCTGCGGTAGGTGAGGAAGGAGAGATGGGGCTGGCCCCAGTGCCCGGCTTCCTTGAAGTCCTCCTCCAGCTTGAGCCAGTGCCCGGCCTCCATCCAGCACAGCTCCTTTGTGCTGTCCATGACCAGCTCATGCAGCTCCACGTAGCCCTGCAGCCAGAGGGGGTGTCAGTGTCCCCCCACACACACCACGGACCCCAAAGAGACCCAGAGCTGCGGCTCCAGTGCCAGCATCTCCTCATGCCCTGGGGTCCCCGGGGTTTGGGGTGAGCTTGGTCCCGGGTGGCCACAGCTCTGTTCGGCCCTGGGAATGGGGGTCCCAGGGCAGCACCCACCTCATGGGTCTCCCTCCGGAACAAGGGCCTCCTGCTCCCTCCCACCTCCAGGTCCACATCAGTCACGGATACAGCTGCAAGCGGAGTCACCAAAGCATTAGGGGGTCCCTGCCCCAGCCCAGACCCCCTGGGGTCTGTTGGAGGCGTCTCCCCCCATGAACCCCCACCCAGACCCTCCTGGGGCTGTCTGGATGTGCCCCTGCCCCATTACCCCCATCCCAGCCCCGGCTGGGACTCTCTGGAAGTGTCCCCCCCGCATTGCCCCATCCCAGCCTGTGCCCCTCCATCACCGCCCCCCCTCCCCTTGCACCCCGGGCCAGGGTCGGGGTGAGAGCAGGGCTGGGGGCCGCGCTCTGCCCCATGGCCCCGCCACCGGCACAGCCCCGAGCCCGGCACAGGGACAGCGCACCCGGACCCTGGGGGCTCGAGGTGTCCCCATCCCTGCCGCTCCCTACCTGCAGCCCCCCCCGCGTTCCCCATGGCCCCGCAGGCTCCGTCCCTATAAAGCGGGGCCGAGCCGCACGCCCGGCGGCCGCCCTGTGTGCACCATAAATCCCGCAGCGATTCGCCTTTGCTGACAGTAAACACCAGCGCGGCTCCCGCCCGCCGCGGCCACCGGGGCGCTGGGGACCGGCTCTCCCCGTCCCCTTCCATCCCCGACGGGGACCAGCGCGGCCCCCTCGCTGCCCCACGGCGCGGTCCCCCCCTCGCGGGGGTGATGCCACAAGAGCCGCATCCCGCTCTGCCGGGTGCAGGGTGCGGGGCCCACGGGAGCGGGGATGCAGCACGGCCCATCCCGGTGTCACGGCAGCGCTGGCTGCGGCACGTGGGCCCGAGCCGCCCCGCACCGGCCAACGCTCGGCCCCAAGTGGTTCTTGTCCTCACCCCAAACAAAGACTTTATTTATCCTCAATCAGCGGGCGATTCCGGGCAAGCGGCAGCGGTCACCCTGCGCGGCGAGCCCTGACGCCCGGGTGACGGTCACCCACCTGCACAGGGCGGCAACGGGGATGGGAGAACCGGGGTGCGTGGCACGATGGAGGCTTGGGGTTGGGAAATGGTGGGCAATGGGAATGCCCAGGCTGGGCTTTGTGTGTCCCCCCCCCCCCGGGGTCACTCACGCTGCCCACTGCCACGGCCGCTCGCCTGTGCCGGGGGGGCCCCGGCCGCTCGCCTCCTCCCATCCAGGTCATACCATCCCCGGCGGCTGGGCAGATACTGGCTGCAAAACACACCCCGGTGGGTGGGGGGGTCAGCGCCGGGCACCCATGGGTGCTGGCAGCCTCTCGGGGGGGGGCAGCGTCTGGTCCCAGTCCCCGAAGTGGGGCACTCACCGCAGGGGTGACAGCTCCTCGGCTCGGGCCCTCCAAGCGTGCAGAGGGGACGCGGTGCCGGCCCCTGCGCAGAACAGGCGGCAGCGTTACCCTGACCTGTGTCACCCCAAAGGGGAGCGAGGTGCTGGGTGCTGGGACGTGGGTGGCAGCAGAGCTGTGGGCAATGGGAGGCTCTGGGGCACAGAGACCCCCCCACATCCCATCATCTCCCTCCCTGGGGGCTCTCAACGGTGGCCTCAAGGACCCCGGGACACCCCAGCCCTTGTGCTTGGGGTGGCACCAGTCTGTGGGTGATTGACCCCGGGGGCTGCACATCCCTGCCTGACCCCTCTGTGATAGCCCCGCTGCCTGCGCAATGCTGATGCCCATGCAACACGTGTGCAACACCAGTGCCCGTGCAGCGCCGATGCTCATGCAACACTGCACCCATGCAACACATCTGTGCAACGCTGGTGCTTCCGCAGCATGTCTGTGCCATGCTGGCACCCATGCAACCCGGTACTGATGCAACGCGAATGCCCGTGCAACACTTGCACACATGCTACTCATGCCCGTGCCGTGCTGGCCCTTATACAACACCACTGGTGCCCGTACAACATGCCTGTGCCATGCTAATATGGGTGCATAGGTGACACCCCTGGAGCTCTGGTGCCCATGCAACGTGCAACCTTGGAGCACTGGTGCCCCTCCAGTGATGGCACCCACTCTGTGCCAGTTCATGCGCAATGCCAGTGCCTGTGCAGTGCTGTTATCCATGCAGGGCCATTACCCATGCAGTGCCATTATCCATGCAGTGCCATCACCCACGCAGTGCCGTTATCCATGCAGTGCCATCACCCATGCAGTGCCGTTATCCATGCAGTGCCATCACCCATGCAGTGCCGTTATCCATGCAGTGCCATCACCCATGCAGCACTGTCACCCATGCAAGTGCTGGTGCCCATGCAGTGCTGTCGCCCATACATCGCCATCCCCCATGCAATGCTGGCTCCCATTATCCATGCAGGGCCATCACCCATGCAGTGCCATTATCCATGCAGCGCCATCACCCATGCAGCACTGTCACCCATGCAGTGCTGTCGCCCATACAACGCCATCCCCCATGCAATGCTGGCTCCCATTATCCATGCAGCGCCATCACCCATGCAGCACTGTCACCCATGCAGTGCTGTCGCCCATACAACGCCATCCCCCATGCAATGCTGGCTCCCACGCGTGCCCAGCACCCAAAGGAGCCACTCACTGCTCATCTCCCCCAGTGAGATCTGCGAGCTCTTGATGCCGGGGTCCTCGTAGCCCTCGGGGTCCAGGCTCCTCCTCATCCTCTCCTCGTAGGCCTCCTGCGGGACACAGAGAAGGGGCTCAGCGGGGACCGGCTCCCCCAGCGCCTCGCCGGGGCCGTGCCGGGGCGCAGCGGCAGAGCCAGGTTTTGGGGCCGGGTCTCCCTACCTGGCCGGGCCCCTCCATGGCTCCGGGCTCGGCCCCCGCTGCCGCCTCGCTGCGTGCCGGCAGTCAGCCCGGTGGCACCATAACCCGGTGCTCTGCGGCGACGGGCGGGCGCGGGGAGAGAAAACGGGTGAGGAGAGGCCGGGGCAGCGCCGGGTGCCCCCCCCCCGGGACGCGGGGTCCGTCCCAAGGGATGGGGCCGGGCCCGGGGCCGGACGCGGGGTCGCTCCCGCAGCCCCCGCCTGCGTAACCCGCTCCCCGCGGGAGGAGAGGTCGCGGATCCCGGGGTCCCCCGGGAAGCGGTGCCCGCCCCGGTGCCATGGGGATGGGAACCGACGTCAGGCGGCGGCGGAGCCCCGGCACCGTCCCACCGGGGACGTGGCACCGCGCCATGGCCCAGCAGGGACCACGCACACCCGGGGGGGGTCCGCGATGGACCCACGGGCTGCGGGCCCACGGGATCCCTTGTATGAGGGGAGGGGTCCCCTATAGACCCACACACATAGGGAGAACCCTGATAGACCCACGCGTATGGGGGGATCCCATCCAGAGCCATGTACGTAAAGGGGGGGTTCATATAGACCCACACACATAGGGAGAACCCTGATAGAACCACGCGTATGGGGGGGATCCCATACAGGGCCATGTAAGTAAAGGGGGGTCCATATAGACCCACACACATAGGGAGAACCCTGATAGACCCACGCATATGGGGGCGATCCCGTACAGATCCATGTACATAAAAGGGGGGGTCCCTATAGATCCACACACATAGGGAGAACCCCGATAGACCCACGCATATGGGGGGATCCCATCCAGATCCATGCACATAGAGGGGGGATCCATATAGACCCACACACATAGGGAGAACCCTGATAGACCCACGCATAAGGGGGGGTCCCGTATAGATCCATGAACACAAAAGGGGGGGTCCCCCACTGCCGTACCCAGGACCCCCCCCAAACCCGCAGAGCACTGGGGGGGGGGGGGGGCAGAAAGGGGAAACTGAGGCCCGGTTGTGCTCATTGGGACATCCCAAAGCGGGACGGTGCCAGCGCATCCCCCCCCCCGCGCCCCCCCCGCCGCTGCCCCGCGGCCGTGGGACAACCGCCAGGGGGCGCCGTTCTCACGCAGGCCGCTCACCCCCCGTGCCCCCCCCCCCGGGGCACCCCCGGGCACCCCCCATCACCCCCAAACACCCCCCCCCTCCATGCCCCCACATCGCCCCCCCCACCACAGAGCCCCCCGGGGGGGGGGTCATGGCCCCCCAGGACACCCAGCCCCCCCCCCCTTACTCCCCGCGGGGATCCCCCCATGTTTGGGGTCCGGGGGCCCAGGCTGTGCCCCCCAACACCCACCGACGGCCCCGACACGGGGAGGGGGGGGTACGGGGGGGGTGATCAGCAATGCCAGGGCATGGGGGGGTTGTGGGGAGCAGCCCCCCCAGATCTCACCAGGGTGATGCAGGAGCTCGCTCCCGGCGGGGGCCGCGGGGGCCGGCGGGGGGGGGGGTGTCCCAGAGACCCCTCCGGGGCCGCGGGAGCGGCAGCGGGGCCACGGAGCCAAGGTCCGGCTCCGGACCAGCCTCCTCCTTCCTGCCCCGCCTGGCCCCCCCGCCCGGCCCGGGGCCCCCCCCCCCCGGCTCTTCCATCGGCGCCGTGCACCGGGCTGCGCCCCGCTGATAACGGGCGGCCGGCGTCAGAGCCCGCCTGCTGCCCCCAGCCAGGGTGAGGGGCGCTGGGGTACCCCAACCTGCCCAGGGCACCCCGTGCCACACCGCACCCCATAGAGACCTCTGTAGGGTCTCTATGGCCCACACCTGAACACCGGACATCCCGTGTGCACAGTATGGGAGCCCATACCTTCTGTATGGTACATCCGTGTGCACAGTATGGAGCCCATACCTTCTGTATGGTGCATCCGTGTGCACGGTATGGAGCCCATACCTCCTGTATGGTACATCCATGTGCATGGTATGGAGCCCATACCTCCTGTATGGTACATCCATGTGCATGGTATGGAGCCCATACCTCCTGTATGGTACATCCATGTGCACGGTATGGAGCCCATACCTCCTGTATGGTACATCCGTGTGCACAGTATGGAACCCATACCTTCTGTATGGTACATCCATGTGCACGGTATGGAGCCCATACCTCCTGTATGGTACATCTGTGTGCACAGTATAGGAGCCCATACCTCCTGTATGGTACATCCATGTGCACGGTATGGGAGCCCATACCTTCTGTATGGTACATCTGTGTGCACAGTATGGGACCCATACCTTCTGTATGGTACATCCATGTGCACGGTATGGAGCCCATACCTCCTGTATGGTACATCCATGTGCATGGTATGGAGCCCATACCTCCTGTATGGTACATCCATGTGCACGGTATGGAGCCCATACCTCCTGTATGGTACATCTGTGTGCACGGTATGGGAGCCCATACCTCCTGTATGGTACATCCGTGTGCATGGTATGGAGCCCATACCTCCTGTATGGTACATCCGTGTGCATGGTATGGAGCCCATACCTCCTGTATGGTACATCCGTGTGCACGGTATGGAGCCCATACCTCCTGTATGGTACATCCGTGTGCACGGTATGGAGCCCATACCTCCTGTATGGTACATCCATGTGCACAGTATGGAGCCCATACCTTCTGTATGGTACATCCATGTGCACGTATGGAGCCCATACCTCCTGTATGGTACATCCATGTGCACAGTATGGAGCCCATACCTCCCAAGTCATACATCCCACTGCATGCTCCAGACCCCGTATCTCCTACACCACTGTAACATGCTCAGGATGGAGCCCATAGCCCCCTGCCAGCAGCTGTCATGGACTGGACTCACACCTCCTGCACCGTATATCCAACACAGCTCTACATGGAGCCCATACCCCCCAAAGGATGCATCACATGCGCTCGGGGTGGACCCCAAATATCCCACACCATCCACACAGTGGGGCTTGGTGCAGGACCTCCCTGCCATGGCAGGGGCTCACTATGGACACCGTACATCCCACACCATCCATGTACTATGGCTGGGATCCTTCCTGTCACAGACACCAATGTGGTTCAGTACAGACCCTATACATCCCACACCATCCATGCACCATGGCTGGGATCCTTCCTGCCACAGACACCAATGTGGCTCAGTACAGACCCTATACAATCCCACATCATCCATGTACTATGACTGGGATCCTTCCTGCCACAGACACCCAATGTGGCTCAGTACAGACCCTATACAATCCCACATCATCCATGCACTATTGCTGGGATCCTTCCTGCCACAGACACCAATGTGGTTCAGTATAGACCCTATACATCCCACATCATCCATGCACTATTGCTGGGATCCTTCCTGCCACAGACACCAATGTGGCTCAGTATAGACACTATACATTCCAAGCCATCCATGTACTATTGCTGGGATCCTTCCTGTCACAGACACCCAATGTGGCTCAGTATAGACCCTATACATCCCACACCATCCATGCACTATGGCTGGGATCATTCCTGCCACAGACACCCAATGTGGCTCAGTATAAACCCTATACATTCCAAGCCATCCATGCACTATGGCTGGGATCCTTCCTGTCACAGACACCAATGTGGCTCAGTATAGACCCTATACATCCCACACCATCCATGTGCTATGACTGGGATCCTTCCTGTCACAGACACCCAATGTGGTTCAGTATAGACCCTATACATCCCACACCATCCATGTACTATGGCTGGGATCCTTCCTGTCACAGACACCCAATGTGGCTCAGTATAGACCCTATACATCCCACACCATCCATGTACTATGGCTGGGATCCTTCCTGCCACAGACACCAATGTGGTTCAGTATAGACCCTATACATCCCAAGCCATCCATGCACTGTGCCCGGAGTCCCTCCCGCAGCAGGATCCCATCATGGTGCAGTACGGACCCCACACCCCCCCACACCCCCCACGCACCATGGCTGGACCCTTCCCGCACCACGCATCCATTGTGGCTCCCTGTGGAGCCCTTATCCCCCTGCCCACAGCATCTCCCACCCCACCGACAGCCCTGCAGCCCCCCCCTTTCCACCCTCCCATCACCCAGGGACACCCCAAGTGACCCCGCACCTACCCCTGGGGTGCCCTCGCCGCCAGCCGCCGGGACAGCCGTGCCCGAATGCCCTGAGTCACGCTCACCTCCCTCCTCTGCCCCCCCGGGGCCCCCCGTAAACAACGTTATCGGGGTGCAACATCTTGTGCGCCCTGCCCGCGCCCCACGGCCCTGCCCCGCTCCCGTGTCCCGCACCCCTGTCCCGCACCCGTGCCCCGCACCCCTGCCCTATCTCGCTTGTGGGGCTCCGGGGTTCCCTGCGGGGAACCCCCCGAGGCTCCGCTGCCCCGCTCCTGCCCGGGGCCGGGGTTTCCCCCCCTGGATGGGGAAGGAGCGGTTCCCTGCGGGAGGGACCGGGAGCGCTGGGCGCGGGGTGTCCCGCAGCGCTGCTCCGGTGCGCACACGTGTGGATGCGTGTGTGTGTCCGTATGTGCATGTATGTGCATGCATGTATGTGTGTGCGTGCGTGTATGTGCGTGCGTGTATGTGCGTGCGTGTATGTCTGTGCGTGTATGTGTGTGCGTGCGTGTATGTGCATGCGTGTATGTGTGTGCGTGTACGTGTGTGCGTGTACGTGTGTGCATGTATGTGCGTGTATGTGCGTGCGTGTATGTGCATGCGTGTATGTGTGTGCGTGTATGTCTGTGCGTGTATGTGTGTGCGTGTATGTGCATGCGTGTATGTGTGTGCGTGTATGTGTGTGCCTGGTATGTGTGCGTGTACGTGTGTGCATGTATGTGCGTGTATGTGCGTGCGTGTATGTCTGTGCGTATATGTCTGTGTGTGTATGTGCGTGCATGTATGTGTGTGCGTGTATGTGTGTGCGTATATGTCTGTGTGTGTATGTGCGTGCATGTATGTGTGTGCACATGTGCGTCCATGCATGGGTGTGCACCCTCAGCTGTGCAGGCGTGTGTCTGCATCCATGTACACAGACACGTGTGCACACACATGTGTGTCCCTACATCCGCAACCTTCCTATAGGGCCCCCAGACACAAACCCCAGGATGCAGGGAAAGAGACAAGGGTGATGAGGGCAAGCCCTGCACACACACATGCACACACATGAACACCCATGCACACACATGAACACCCATGCACACACATGAACACCCATGCACAGACATGCACACCCATGCACACACATGAACACCCATGCACAGATGAACACCGATGCACACACATGAACACCCATGCACAGATGAACACCGATGCACACACATGAACACCCATGCACACACATGAACACCCATGCACAGACATGCACACCCATGCACACACCTGAGCACCCATGCACGCACATGAACACCCATGCACAGATGAACACTGATGCACACACATGAACACCCATGCACAAGCACACCCCAGCCACCACTGTGCATGGGGACACCCATGGGGACACCCGGGGTGCCCATGGCTCCTGTCCCCCTCTGCCAGCCCCGCCGGGGGGGGTCCATGCTGGTGGCTCCGGGCTCCATTGCTTGCACTGGGGAGCGGGGGGGGCTGCGATAGCTGCGGGCTGGGAGCCCCGATAACAGCCCCGGCGTTATCTGGGTGCTGCCAAGGGCTCCCCTCCCTGCAGCAGCCCTGGGGATTCTGGGGGTGCCCCTCGCAGAGGTAGAGGGGGCTGTGGGGCACGGCGGGGGGGCACCGAGAGGGGGGACGTGCCCCATGGAGCATGGCCCTGCCTCCTCAGGGTGCCTCTGATTTACCCGAGTGCTATGGGGGGAGAAGCGGGTGCCCCCTCCCCTCGATTCCCTGGGGCATCCATAGGGAAACTGAGGCACGATGCAAAAGCCGGGTGCTGGGAGCATTGAGGGGGGTCCCCCCACAGCACCCCCAGACTCCACCTGAACCCCACAAGCCCCAAAGGGGGCCGGGGGGGGGGTGTGGGGTGCGAGCTCAGCCCAGTCTGCGCAGTGCTCCCCCCCCGTGCCTTTGCCCCCACTGGAGGTACACCAGGATGTGGGGCTGAGCCCTGCAGAAAGCAGCCCCCCGTTCCCCTCCACATTACTCCCCTCATCCAATCCCATCCCACCCCATCCCATCCTCCGGGATTGCTGCCCGCCCCCCTTACTGACCCCATCCCACCTCTTGGGATCGCTGCCCCCCCCCCTTACTCCCCCCATCCCAGCCCATCCCCTGGGATCGCTGCCCCCCCTCTTATTCCCCACATCCCATCCCCCGGGATCGCTCCCCCCCCCCCCCCATTTCTCCCCCTCCCTCCCTCCCCAGAGCCCAGATTTGGGGGACCGGAGGCGGGGAGCGCATCAGGCCCCGCATCCTGCTGGGGTTTTTTTTGGGGGGCGGGGGGGGACGGCCGTTGCCGTGGGCACCGGGGAGGTTGGGGGGGGGGGGGGGGGGTGGTGGCGGAGCAAAGCCTGCGCGGTGCCGGGGGGGGGTGGCCCACGGGGAAGGGGCATCGCCCGCGGCCGTGGCCTTGCGGCGGCCGGCGCTGGATGGCAGCGGGCTGCGTGCAGGCTGCCATGGCGCTGGGGCTCTCCTCCAAGAAAGCTTCCTCCAGGAACATCGCGGTGGAGAGGAAGAACCTCATCACGGTCTGCAGGTGCGGGGACACCACAATGGAATGGGGGGGGGGGACGGACACCCCCTGTACTGCTGGGGAGGGGGGCATGGAGGAGATGGGAGGTGGGAGATGGATGGGGAGGAGGGTGCGGGGTTCATCTTCATCACCCCCTCCCCCCATCGTGGGGGTTGTGTGTGTGTGTTTGTTATTGCTGCAGTCGCGTTTTGGGGGGAGATTCAGATTTAGGGGGGGGGGGGGACACGAGGAGGAGGATGGGGGTGTGGGAAGCGGGGTGCAGGGGGTGCGGTGGGGAAAGGGGGTACAACAACAACAGGGAGGGTGCTGGGGCTGTGGGCAGACGGAGAGGGGGGTACGGGGAGAATAAGGGGGATTTTGGGGGGGGAGAATTGGGTCCGGGGACCCCCCCGTCCCCCCCCGCGGGTGGGGGTCCAAGGAAGTGACGTCAGGGCCCGCTCCAGGCGGCGGGGATGGAGGGATGAAGGCTGCGGATGGAGGATGCGGGTTGTCATGGAGACGCCGGGATGGACCGCGGCGGGGGGGGGGAAGGGATAAGGGGACCCGGAGGGTGTTGGGGAGTCCCCTGCCTGCCCCAGCCCCCACGTGCTAGGATGGGGTGACCCCCCCCAGCTGGGGGCTGCGATGGGGGCGATGTGGGGGTTCAGAGGCTTGGGGTCACCAAGAGGGGGACCCCTCGGTCCCGCTGCCGGGCTCTGAGGGCCCCCGGGTCCCTGTGCCCCCCCCGGGCAGCTCCAGAGCCCGCAGTGGGGCCGGGCCCCGCGCTCCGGGCACCTCCGAGGCTCGCGCAGCACTGCGGAAGGGGAAGCCATCACCGCCGCGCGCGGCCCGGAGGAAGGGGGCCTTTGTTCGCCCTTCCGGGCCACTCGCTCGGCGGGGGGGGGCAGCGGCCGCAGGGGGGTCCCCCGGGACCTGGGGACACGGGGGTCAGCGAGGCTCAGGCCAAAGCCGCGCCTGCAGCGGGGTTTGTGCTGTGGTGAGCGCTGGGGGTGCACGTGCGGGTGAGGGGGAGGGTGAGGGTGTTGGTTCCGGTGCTGGTGTTGGTGCTGGTGTTGGTGCTGGTGTTGGTGCCGGTGTTGGTGCTGGTGCTGGTGCCGGTGTTGGTGCTGGTGTTGGTGTTGGTGTTGGTGCCGGTGCTGGTGCTGGTGCTGGTGCTGGTGTTGGTGTTGGTGCTGGTGTTGGTGCCGGTGCCGGTGTTGGTGCTGGTGCTGGTGTTGGTGCTGGTGTGGCTGCGGGTGCTGGTGTTGGTGCTGGTGTTGGTGCTGGTGTTGGTGCTGGTGTTGGCGTTGGTGCTGGTGTTGGTGTTGGTGCTAGTGTTGGTGCTGGTGTTGGTGTTGGTGCTGGTGTTGGTGTTGGTGCCGGTGTTTGTGCCAGTGTTGGCGCCAGTGTTGGTGCTGGTGTTGGTGCCGGTGCTGGTGTTGGTGCTGGTGTTGGTGCTGGTGTTGGTGCCGGTGCTGGTGCTGGTGCTGGTGCCGGTGTTGGTGCCGGTGTTGGTGCTGGTGTTGGTGTTGGTGTTGGTGCCGGTGTTGGTGCTGGTGCTGGTGTTGGTGTTGGTGTTGGTGCTAGTGTTGGTGCCGGTGCCGGTGTTGGTGCTGGTGCTGGTGTTGGTGCTGGTGTGGCTGCGGGTGCTGGTGTTGGTGCTGGTGTTGGTGCTGGTGCCGGTGTTGGTGCCGGTGTTTGTGCCAGTGTTGGCGCCGGTGTTGGTGCTGGTGTTGGTGTTGGTGCCGGTGCTGGTGTTGGTGCTGGTGTTGGTGCTGGTGCTGGTGCTGGTGCTGGTGCTGGTGTTGGTGCCGGTGCCGGTGCTGGTGTTGGTGCCGGTGCCGGTGTTGGTGCTGGTGCTGGTGTTGGTGCTGGTGTTGGTGCTGGTGCCGGTGTTGGTGCCGGTGTTGCTGCCGGTGTTGGTGTTGGTGCTGGTGTTGGTACCGGTGTTGGCATTGGTGCTGGTGCTGGTACTGGTGCTGGTGCTGCTGTTGGTATTGGTGCTGCTGTTGGCGCTGGTCTTGGTGCTGGTATTGTTGCTGGTGTTGGTGTCAGTGTTGGCGGTATTGATGCTGGTTCTGGTATTATTGCTGATGTTGGTGCTGGTTCTGGTGCTGGTGCTGCTGTTGCTGGGTGTTGAGTGTTCTGCTCTAGGTTCTGGTACTGGGTGCTGGACGTTGGGTGTTGGTGCTGCTGCAGGCGCTGGTGTTGCTGCTGGGCTCTGGGTGCTGGGTGCTCAGCTCCCGGTGCTGGCGCTGGGCTCCGGCTGCGCGGCGCCGTCCCCTCCACCCGTGCTGCTCCGCGCAGGTTCTCGGTGAAGACGCTGCTGGAGAAGTACACGGCAGAGCCCATCGACGACTCCTCCGAGGAGTTCGTGAACTTCGCCGCCATCCTCGAGCAGATCCTCAGCCACCGATTCAAAGGTACCGGCCCCCCCTCCGCATCCTTGTGCCCGGGGGGGGGTCTCTGGTGGGGCCAGCCCCTGAGGCGGTGCCGGTGCCCGCAGGCCCCGTCAGCTGGTTCAGCTCGGATGGGCAGCGCGGGTTCTGGGATTACATCCGCCTGGCCTGCAGCAAGGTGCCCAACAACTGCGTCAGCAGCATCGAGAGCATGGAGAACATCAGCACCTCCCGGGCCAAGGTCAGGAGGCGCCAGCCCCAGGCTCGGCCCCGTCCGCGCTCTTCTTCCTTCTCGCCTCTGTCTTCATGCACACACACAGCGCTCGTGGACCCAGCCTCACTCTGATCCCCATCCTCGTTCCATCTCCTCCCACATCCCGTTCCATCCCCATTGCATCTCCATTGCATCCTCTCCCATCCCACATTCCCTATTCCAATCCCATCCCTATCCTATCTCCATCTTCATCCCATCCTACATCCCTATCCCATCCCTGTTGCATTGTCTTTGTATCCCCATTTCATCCCATCCCAACCCCTGTTCCCATCCCCTTTCCATTCCACATCCCCATCCTATCCCAATCCCTATCCTGATCCCCATCTTCATCCCATTCCCTATCCATCTCCATCTCATTGTCACTGTATTCCTATTGCATCCCCATCCCATCCCAATTCCCATCCCCTCCTGCAGCCTGGGGGCAGCTGCTGGTGGCACTGGGTGGTACTGGATGGCACTGGGTGGTACTGGGTGGTACTGGATGGCACTGGGTGATGTCTCTGTGCTCAGAGCTCCCATGGGCGCTGCCTTGCAGGGCCGGGCCTGGATCCGTGTGGCGCTGATGGAGAAGCGCATGTCCGAGTACATCTCCACAGCGCTGCGGGACACACGGACCACGAGGTGAGCAGCATGGGTCAGGGGTACCAGGGCTGGGTACCTGGGTAGTTGGGTACCAGGGTATTTGGATATCAGGGTTGGGTACCAGGGTATTTGGGTACCAGGGTATTTGGGTACCAGAGCTGGGTACCAGGGTATTTGGGTACCAGGGTACTTGGGTACCAGGGTATTTGGGTACCAGGGTACTTGGGTACCAGGGTAGTTGGGTACCAGGGTATTTGGGTACCAGAGCTGGGTACCAGGGTATTTGGGTACCAGGGCACTTGGGTACCAGGGTAGTTGGGTACCAGGGTAGTTGGGTACCAGAGCTGGGTACCAGGGTATTTGGGTACCAGGGTACTTGGGTACCAGGGTACTTGGATACCTGGGTACTTGGGTACCAGGGTAGTTGGGTACCAGGGTAGTTGGGTACCAGAGCTGGGTACCAGGGTACTTGGGTATCAGGGTACTTGGGTACCTGGGTACTTGGGTACCAGGATAGTTGGGTACCAGGGTAGTTGGGTACCATGGTACTTGGGTACCAAGGCTGGGTACCTGGGTACTTGGGTACCAGGGGTGGGTACCAGGGTATTTGGGTACCAGGGTAGTCCGGTACCAGGGTACTTGGGTACCAAGGCTGGGTACCTGGGTAGTTGGGTACCAGGGTTGGGTACCAGGGTACCAAGGCTGGGTACCTGGGTAGTTGGGTACCTGGGTACTTGGGTACCAAGGCTGGGTACCTGGGTACTTGGGTACCAGGGTTGGTGGTTTGGGTGCTGGTGGGTGCACACGATGCAGCCCCGTCTCCCTGCAGGCGGTTCTATGATGACGGGGCCATCATGCTGCGGGAGGAGTCCACGGTGCTCACCGGGATGCTCATTGGGCTCAGTGCCATCGACTTCAGGTGCGGTGGGACAGGGGTACCCTGCACCGGCTGCAACCCCGCGGGGCTGCCCTCATCCTGTGCTTCTCCTCCTGCCCCTCAGCTTCTGCCTGAAGGGCGAGGTGATGGACGGCAAAACACCCGTGGTCATTGACTACACCCCCTACCTGAAGTTCACACAGAGGTAAGAGGACCCTGCTGTCTCTGTGGCATCCCCTTGCTGCTGTGCTGAGCACTGAGCCTCTATCCCCCCAGTTACGACTACCTGAGCGAGGAGGAGGAGCGGGGCAGTGTGGAGAGCAGCACGAGCGAGGACAGCTCCCCCGAGCACCCCTACCTGCCCCTGGTCACCGACGAGGACAGTTGGTACAACAAGTGGCGCAAGATGGAGCAGAAGTTCCGCATTGTTTATGCCCAAAAGGTACCGGGAGCTGGGATGGGGCCGTTCGGGTGCCAACCGCACGCTGGGATGCTCCAGCATCCCCGTTCCTGCATCCCAGTGGTACCTGCGGCAGCAGTGCCCCAGCTCTGTCCTTGGGGTGGTGGCCCTGGTGGGATGCTGACGGTGGCCTCACGCAGGGGTACCTGGAGGAGCTGGTGCGGCTGCGGGAGTCGCAGCTGAAGGACCTGGAGGCAGAGAACAAGCGGCTGAAGCTGCGGCTGGAGGAGGTGATGGTGCAGAACCAGCTGGAGAAGAGGGAGCTGGAGGGCGTCATCCTGGAGCTGCAGGAGCAGCTGTGAGTGGGGACCTGTGGTCATGGTGGCGTGTGGTGGGTTGCAGGTGCCCCATAGGACACAGTAGGTCCCCACTGCCCCATGGGATGTGATGGGTGGCAGGTTCCCTGTCCCCTGTGGGACATAGAACCATAGAAGCAGCTGCTTGGGAAAAGACCTTTAAGATCATCAAGTTCAGTCCTTACCCCAGCACTGCCCAAGGCCACCACTTGGACACGGAGGGTCCCAAATGTCCTATGGGATGCAGTGGGTCCCTGACGCCCCATACACCCCACGTTCCCCAGCACCCATGGCAGTGCTGGGTGCTGAGCATCCCCCTTTGCCGCAGGACGGGGCTGATCCCCTGTGAGAACCCGCAGCTGGCGCAGCTCTCCAAGGAGATGGTGACGCCCCTGGTGAACCAGTGGCCATCACTGGGGACCCTCAACGGCAACGAGAGCGGCTCGGACAGCAAACTGTACCGGAGGTAATGCCCGCAATGGGGCAGAGCCGCCCTGACCCACAGCCAGCACCCACCGCCCCAGGGCCGCAGTGGGGACCACATAGGCTGCAGGAGCAGGGATGCAGTGGGGAGATGCTGGAGCATCCCGGGGCAGGGAGGGGGGGTCTGTCCCTCGTGGTGGGGCTGTCCCAGCGCGTCCCTCCGCAGGCACAGCTTCGTGAGCACCGACCAGCTCTCGGCCGAGAACAGCCTCAGCTCCGACTCCCAGCGCCTGGGCGAGGGCAAGCGCGAAGGGGAGCCCTGGGGGCCCTTGGGTAAGAGCCCCCCCCCATCACCATAGGGTGCCCCATGGGGCTCATTGCGCCCCGTAACACGCACCCAGGCATCTGACCCCATCAGCAGCCCCCTCCCCACGCCGGGCAGCGAGGGACGCCCCATCCCCATCTCCCCTGATGCGCAGGGCTGGGGTGCGAGGCCGCAGCCCCCCCGTGACGCCCGCTCTGTGTCCGCAGGGAAGGATCCGACCCCGTCCATGCTGGGGCTCTGCGGCTCCCTGGCCTCGCTGCCCAGCTGCAAGTCCTTGGCCAGCCTCAAGTCCAACGAGTGCCTGGTGAGCGACAGCACGGAAGCCAGCCCCAGCCGCAGCCCCAGCTGAGACCCCCGGCCCCACAGCGACTGACCTCGGCCCCCCAGCACCCACCAGGGACCCGCCGGGACCAGGAACCCCCTGCTCTGTCCTGATACCCCAACCCCAGCTGCGCCTCGGCACGGCCCCTGGCTGCAGACATGGACCTGTTGGGATGGGGGATGCTGGACCGGGACTGATGCGAGCTGGGGATGGGAATGGGAGTGAAGGTGGTGGTGGGCAGGGGGGGACATGGGGAGCACTGGAGGAGGATCAGGGCTAAACCCTCACTCGGTCTGGGCTCCCCCAGACACTGCAGGGGCTTGGCCTGTGCCCCTCTTTGGGGTCCAGCTCTCCCCCCTTGCAGCAATACCCCCACCACAGGGGGAGCCCCCCCCCTCCCCAGCCCCTTCGCATCCTCCCTGGGGTTTGGGTTGGATGAGTTTGGTTTTTAATGCAGCCCCATCCGCCTCCTTGGAGCAAAAGGAACCAATAAACGCAGCAACTGAGCCGGCATCCGAGAGCCCCCAGCCTGGAGAGGGAAAGGGCCCTTGAGGAACCCCTCAGGGCAGGGAGGGCACCTCTGGGCCATAGCAGGTCACCAACGATGGGCTCCCCCCATACCCCATCAGCAGAGGTGCTGGGACCATCCATGAGGATGATGGTGGCTGTGGCACGGGGACAGGGCTGTCACCTCTAGGGGTACCCAGAGCACAGGAGGAGAAATCCCTGGGCCAAGAGACAGGGGTGACTGCCTTTTATTTAAGAAAATAAGGTAAATCCCCCCTGGAGCCCCAGGATGAGCAGGGGCAGAACCTCGGGGTAAGGGGATAGGGGTGGGCGCACAACACCCACTGGCCCCGAGAGCAGCAGCGAGGTCTGTCCCCACACGGCTCCGAGCCCAGGGAGGAGAGGTCCGGAGCCGTGTCCCCACTGCACGCAGGGCCGACAGCAAGGGGCTGGAGGGGGCCCGGGCAGGCAGGGAAACACCGAGGGTTTGGTCCTCCACAGAGCCCCAGTTCCCATCTCCTGCCCTGCACCTCATCCTCGCCTGAGCATCCATAGCTCCATGATCCAGCAGCATCCATCCAGGCTCAGGGATGAGCTCGGGGAACCCCACATTCCCCCCGTGGCACAGCAGCAGGCACAGGTGCCCCCAGTGCACTGGGGATGGGAGCAGGCCTGGCTCTGGCCCCATGCACGGGCAGCAGGAGGTGGGGAGCAGCACGAAGGCACTTGGGCTTTGCAGAGCCGCTGCTGTCGCTGCTCCTGAGCTGGAGCATCCCCCTGGAGCAGGGGCCCCGCTCAGAGCCCGCGCAGGCGCCGCTCCTGGTTCAGCTTCTGGAAGAAGGTCTTGCCAAACTCATAGGTGCTGATCATGATGGCGCAGGCGGGAGCCACCTTAATGACCCGGGGCAGGAAACCTGCAGGGACAACGCCAACAGCCCCCCGGTGACACCAGGGCACCAGCAAACCCCATCAGCCCCCCAGTGGCACCAGTAAACCCCAGCCCGGGGCCTCATCCTCACCTGCAAACAGCCCCCGGGTGCCGGACTCGGCGCGGATGCGCTGCATGAGGAGCCACGTGGAGGAAGGTTTGGAGGCTGTGACTGTGGGGTGAGAGCAGCGGGTGAGGGCCTGGGGCTGCCCCAGGGGTGCTGCTGCCTGCCCACAGCCCCGCTCCTTACCCGGGTGCAGCTCACTGTGCCCCAGCTCAATCTGCCGCTGGGTCTTCACCACGTCAAAGGGCAGCGTCAGCACCGCGGCCACCTGCGGGGACAGCAGTGACCCATGGGCTCTGCTCCTGCGGCACCAACCCCATCCTTGGCTCCCCATGGCCCCATCCTCACCGTGCCGGAGATGGCCCCGGATGTGAAGCTGATCATGAACGTGGCCTCGCCCAGCCAGGCCTTCCTGCAGAGCCAGTCCCTCACCAGCTCATAGTTAAACCAGTAGAGAGCTGGGAGAGGAGAAACACCAGCGCTAAGATGAGGCACCATGGACACCCCAACCTCTGCCTTCCTCCTGTGCAGGGGGGCCCTGACCCATACTTGAGGAGCCCCACCTCAAGCTGTGGCTGCCCCATCCCTGGCAGTGCTCAAGGCCAGGTTGGACACAGGGGCTTGGAGCAAGCTGCTCCAGTGGAAGGGGTCCCTGCCCATGGCAGGGGTTGGAGCTGGAGGAGCTTTAAGGTCCTTCCCTTCCAACCCAACCCAACCCAAGTGCCACCACAGAGCCTGTCCCCGCTGCCGTACCTGAGAAGGGAACATCCCGCAGCACAGTGGGTCCCCAGCCCCTCCACAGGGACAACCACCCATCCTGAGCCACCGCCGACTGGATGCAGACCCGCAGCTCCTGGTAGCTCAGCTGCCGCGACTGCATCTTGGTGCGGATGAGCTCCAGGGGGCTGATGACCGTCACGGCACCCACTGCAATGGAGGGGGTACCCATTACCAGGCTCCCAGAGCATCGTGCTGGGAGAGGCAAGCACCGAGCGGGGGCTCCAAGAGACCCACAGGAGGAGGAGAACATGGGGTGGGCATGGGGGGTACTCACGCCTGGCAAGGGCCCCGGCCAGCAAGGGGATGTGGTGGCCCCGGCTCCCCGTGCGAGCCTGCAGGTAGTCCCGGAGCTGGTCGTACGTGGTGAAATAGATGACAGTGGCAGGCACAGCCATGACCCTGGTGAGGAGGGGGGGGTGAGGGCACTGGCAGGGGGCTCAGGGGGTGCCCATGTGCCCAGACAGGCACTAGGACCCAGGGTCCCCCCCAGGCACACTCACAGGGTGGGGGGCAAGCCGCTCCACAGGGATCTGATGCCCTCGTAACGCGTGATCTTCACAAAGGCATCCTGGGGGGAGCACCAGGGAGAGGGATTAGACAGGAAGCAGCCCCCCAAGGACAGGGAGCCCCCGTCCCACCCTCCTGTGCTGCAGCCCTACCAGTGTCCCAGTGAAGCGTGTGGGGGCCTTGTACCAGGCGGTGCAGCCGTTGCCGTTCTGGCAGACGTACAGATGGTCCATGAGCCCGTTGCAGTAGAGGAAACACTTCCCTGGGAGGCAACAGCACCGCTGTTAGGCAGGAGACCCCTTCCCCTCTGCCCTGTGCACAGCCCAGTCAATCCCCAAACCCATCGCCTCCTCCAGGGAAGAGCCAAATCCTCCGTGCTGGAAGCAGGATGGAGCCAGGAGGGGCTGGGCTCTGCTCCCAGGGAACAAGGGATGGGACAAGAGGAACCGGCCTCAAGCTGCACCAGGGCAGGTTTAGATGGAGCTGAGGAACAATTCCTGCCCCAGAGGGTGCTCAGGCATTGGAACAGGCTGCCCAGGGCAGGGCTGCAGGCACCGGCCCTGCAAGTGTTCACACAGCGTGGAGACGAGGCCTCAGTGCCATGGGTTAGGGGTGGCCTTGGCAGGGCTGGGAACGGTTGGATTTGAGCATCTTAAAGGTCCTTTCCAACCTGGTTGATTCTTTGATGTTTGAGCCTGGTGGGGACCAGCCCCAGAGCAAGGCCAGGAGAGGGATAAATCTCCAGCAAGGCTCTGAGCACAGATCCAGACCCACCAAAGGGATGGGGATGCAGCAGAATCTGTCGTGACAGGACAGCGATGAGACAGGGACCGCAGGCAGCCAGGCCTGGTGCACAGCAGACCCCCAGGCACGGACCAGCCCCAAAGAGGGGCTCCAGGAGCAGCTGTGGGGCTGGGGGTGCTGCCCCACACTGCAGAGGGCTGGCCCCTCGGCCGGAGGAGCCCAAGCCACCACCAGCAGGGAAGCCAAGCGGGATCAAGGCTTAGGAAAGCAAAGCTGCTGGTGGCAGGAGCTGCCCCATGGCGTACTCACATGTGGTCTGCTGAGCACCCCAGGGCACAGACTGTGCTGGACATGCTGAAACACACAACAGGGACACGCTGAGACATGACACAGGGGACGTGCCAAGCCCCTGGGCTGGGGCACAGCGCTGAGCCAGCCTGGGTGGGGAGGTCTCCATGGGTGACAGGGCTGGATGCCCTCACAGCCATGACCCAAGCAGTCCCTATTGACACCAAAGCAGCCCCTTGGGAACAGCCCCAGCCCCCTGACCCCATAGGGAAGGGGATGGAGTCCATGGGGTCTCTCCTGCTCCATGGAAGCTGTGGGGAGCAGCACAGACGCACGGCATTGACACCCTCAGCATTGCAGTGGGGCTGTGAGGGGGAAGGACAGAGCCAAGCACCAGCCCAGCTCCCCCAGTGGGGCCCCCAGAGCCTGTGAGGACAAGGGGCCCTGGCTAATGTGTGATCCAGAGCTGAGGAATCCTGGCCACCACCTCTGCCAACCAGCACATCCACATGAACTGCCCAGTATGGGGGCTGGAGACCCCCCCCAGCCCATCCCAAGCAGGGTTACCTTTGGAGAAGGGGGTCCTCTGAGCCTGCAGCCGGATCTTCACCACGTCCAGCGGCGTCACTGAAACGACACCACCCTTTAGCCCCATGGCACGGCCCCGGTGCCCCCCAGTGCCCCTGGTACCCACCGAAGAGCGAGGTGAGGATGGCGCCCGTCCCCGAGGCCAACATCTGCTGCAGAGGTGTGATGCTCCCGCCGCTGCTCGGCGACGTCCGCTCAGCCATGGCAGCGCCCTGCAACACAGAGCAGGGACAAGGGGGGGATGCTCGAGGGTGCCCAGGGATGAGCGATGGATCCCAAGGATGGATCCCAAGGATGGATCCCAAGGATGGATCCCTGCCATTCCCGGTGCGCTGCACGTGTCCCACCTGCGGCCCCGCTATCGGCCCGGCACAGGGCAGGCGCGGCCCCCCCTATAATCGGTGCTGCCCCAAGGTGGGGCACAGGGACAGCGCCTGGGGCTGGCCCAGCCCCGATAACACCCCCGGGCCCGGCGCTGGAGGCCGGCCCAGCCCCGCTGGAGGTGGGGACAGCCGGGGCCAGCCCCGTGTCCTTGGAGGGGAGCGTTATCCCCTCCCCGCACGCAGGGACAAAGGGCAAAGCCCAACCAACCGCAGCGGCCCCCCTCCCCCGGAGCCCGCAGCCATGGGGACACCGCGGGGATCCCTTCGGAAAGGGGGTGCGAGCTTGTGACAAGCGCCCCAAAAACGGGTTCGCGCATCCAGAGCCCGCCGTGTGCCCCCCTGCAAGGCTTGGCAAGACTGCGACCCCCCTCGGGTCAGGGGGGATACGGGGCTATTGCACCTCGAGGGCACTGCCCCGCACGCTGGGACGGGGCCATGGCGCTTCCAAGCTTCGGGAATGCGCGGTGGCGTTCGCAAGGCAGGGGAATGCAGCGCAAACCACCCCAAAAGCACCTTCCCCTCCTGACTCAGCACTTGGCAAGGTCGGCGCGGGCACAGATCCCGCGGTCCCGTGGCCCAAGCTGGGAGCAGGGACGGGGCTGTCCCGGAGCCAACGGCAGCGGGAGCCGGGGCCCGCACGGTCCCGCACTGCGCCGGGATGGCGGCTGCTCACGCTCATCCCGACACTTACACGGGGACAAACCCGGTGTCGGCAGAGCCGAACGCTCGTTATCCCCCGGTGCACCCGGCCCATCCCGACGGGAGCTGCTCCCTGCTCCAGTCGGGACACGCACCCCTCCCGCTGCGGGCGGGCCGCGGGGCTCGGTACGGGGAAAGGGGGATAAAGCAAAGCGGTGTTGGGATGAGAACGGGAACAACCGGGAGGGAACTCCGCACCCGCACCCCCCATGCGGGACGGGCCCCGCCAGTCCGTCCCCCCCCGTCCCACCCCGCACGGTGCAGCCCCCAGCGCGATCAGGGCCAGCGAGACCGGACACACCCCCCCCTCCCCGTCCGCTCGACCCCCGGTACCGGGGACACTGAGGCAGCGGCCGCGCGCGCGGGACACGAGGGGGTTTCCCCGGGGTTTGAGGGGGAGGGGGGATCCCGCCCCACCTGCTCATTCCAGCCCCGTGCGGCGCTGCCCTCCACCGGGAGCGGTACCGGGAGCCGCGGCTCCTTTAAGGATCCCCATGGGCTCCCGACACGAGCCCGAGAGGCACTTCCGTCCCGCGCACGCGCGCTCGCACCAGCACCACCGCCACCACCGCCACCACCCACCCGCCACTGCGCCCCCTGCCGGGCCGGCGGACGTGCGCGGGCGCGCTTTGCACACTCATGGCGCGGGGGCGGGGGCGCGCTTTGCACACTCATGGCGCGCTCGCTTTGCACACTCATGGCGCGGGGGCGCGCTTTGCACACTCATGGCGCGCTCGCTTCGCACACTCATGGCGCGGGGGCGCGCTTTGCACACTCATGGCGCGGGGGCGCGCTTTGCACACTCATGGCGCGGGGGCGCGCTTTGCACTCTCCCCCAGGGCCTGGTGTCCCCTCCGAGGTGCAAGGGGTGAGGCGAGCTCCAGGCTCCAGCCGCAGACAGGCCCTGTGTGAGGGGGAATGGGGGCTAGGGAGGGGAACACTCGGCCATGAGGAGCGGTCTGGGCCGGTTTTACCTGAACACCTCTCATTTGAAGGGTTCCAGGTTGGTTTGAGCACTTCCAGCCCCACCACTTGGGAGCGGCTGGATGGGGAATAGAGCTCCCGTGCTATTCCCTGCTCTGGTCTGAGAAGGAACACCCAGTTCAAACCGTATTGTTCCCTTAACATCAGAGGCGCACCCATCAGAATGGGCTGCTCCCACTCCGGGATGTGCACTGACAACAACAGACGGCTCCCAAAGCCCCTCTGGAGCCTCCATGGGCGCGCTCGGCTGGATTTGAGGACTGAAGACGGCGCTGGTGCGGTCCCTCTGTGCGCCCCTGAGTGCCATCCTGTGGCGACAACAGGGAAGGCTTCGAGAGCAGGCGCTGGCACAGGGTGCCCAGAGAAGCTGTGGCTGCCCCATCCCTGGCAGTGCTCAAGGCCAGGTTGGACACAGGGGCTTGGAGCAAGCTGCTCCAGTGGAAGGGGTCCCTGCCTTCAGTGAAGGGGACAGCGATCAGGCTTCAGCCCCACAAGTGCCGCTGGAGGCTGTGGGTCTGTGTGCATGGAGAGGAGCTGTGATCCACACAGCGTGATCCTGAACTCTCCGTGCTGCCCTTCCATGACACGAGGTCCAAGGGAGTCTTGACTTTGGGATGGGAGGCCAGGAACTCAGTCATTCCCACAGGGTCATGTAAGTGAATGCATCCGGAACTCCCTTATGAGTCAGCTCTGCCTCTTACAGGGTTTAAATGAGCTGGGAAGCCTCTTTTGTAGTGGGTAATTTAGACGTGGAATAAAGATTAATTAAACGCCCATGTCCTTAGGGGTATTGTATCTTCTACCTGAGGGTGGTGCGCGCTGCTGCTCAAGGGACTGAGCGCTGGTCTGTAGGTGTGAGGTTCCAGGAGGGGGGAAGGTGCGGACTGTGCCTCCCCGCTGCGCAGGGGCAGGACTGGCTCCTTGTGCTGAGTCACGGCCGGTGCTGCGTGGTTCCTGCCTGTGATTGACATGGGCACAGCCTCGGCGTGTGCTGGAGGGGTGCAGCCTGCTCCAGCTGCCTGTGCCAGTGAACTGTGCGTGCGCTGCAGCTGGGTGCGAGGGGTAAATACCTGCCTTCGGTTTCCACTGCAGGAAGGAGCCGGCTGAGCCCTAATCCGCTCTGGATCCCGAGGAAGGGCTGGAATCAGTGCAGGCAATGCCCCTTGTCCGGTAACACAGGCTGGGAAAAGCACTTGTGTAATGAATGCCCTTGTGATCTGCACAGAGGCTTCCAAGCAGGGCGAGCTCCCCTGGGTCCGTGCCACGGCCGTGTTAGAGCCGTGTCTGCCTGGGGTCACCCTGCGGTGTCTCATGGCTCTTGAGTTGATGCAGAAAGCTCTTCTTGCTGGAAACCCTTGGAGAAGCCATTCATTAGCCCGTTTCCTTGGGTTTAGGTGAGCTGCAGCAGGGATCTGAGCAGAACTCCAATGGAATTAATGCTAGTGCAGAATCTGAGTGTTTATTTCAGCAAGGATCATGGTGGTTTTGCAAAAGGCATCCTTAATCTGAATTAAACGACTGAAATGAAGCAGCCTGTGGGCAGATGAGGCCCGGGGGACATCAGGCTTAAAGCCAGTGTAACCCAAATTCTAACCCAGCTCTGCAGGGGAGCCCTCAGAAACCGTGTCCCACCTTCTGCAGCACCCACCCTGATGCAGTTGTGAAACAGCTTCAGAACTGACCTGGGAGGAAATGAGCCTTGTCTTGGGGCTGAAGGAACAGGTATGGAAGATAAAGGTTTAACTCTTTCCTCCCTAAAGGCATCCTTTATGATCTGATGTAGAAACACCCAGCAGCAGAAGGAATGGGGGGAAGATAGAGTTACTGGTGGGATAGATTCCCAGATCCTTTTTGCTGTATAACCAAAGGCACCCTATGAATGTGGAGCAGCGCTGTGCAGTAATTAAAGTGTACCTCAGCTGTGTGTGCAGGTGCCTGTGGAGAGCTCCTCTTTGCCGGGGTGAGATGTGCTGATTGCTGGGGGTGAGCTCATTCCACTTGACTTGGAGCACCCCGCTGCACCCTGGGGCCTTGGGGCTCCCGGAACACATGGGGTTGCTGCAGCAGCATCCTGCCTCCCTCCGGAGCGAGGTGTGGGCTGTGGAACATGAGCTGTGGGGCTCAGTGGGGCTCTGCACGAGCCCAAGGGGGTGTGTTGGGATGCGGGGAGGGAGGGCACCTCACCAAGGGACATCCAGCCCATGCTCTCTGGCCCTGCAGGGTGCTGGAGAAGCTCTGTGTGGATTTGATTGTCTCTTGTCTACCAGGAATAGCCATGTGCTTCCAGTCCTGTGAATACAAGCAGGACTGAACAGCAAAATGCTGTGCCTTGAGCAAATTCATTGTGCTTTTCCTACACAAGGCTGCTTGTGATACTCCCTGCACTTCATTACCAGGCTTCTGTGGCTCTGCCTTGGGCCAGGACAGGGAGGCGCTTGGTGCTGTGAGCACAGCCCTGGAGGCTGTGGGGATCCCTGCTGGTGTGCACATGGCAGAGCTGTGGTCATGGAACCATAGAACCATGGAATGGGCTGGCTTGGAAGGGACCTTAAAGCTCACCCACTTCCAACCCTCACGGGGAGCTTCTCAACCAACCAGCCCACGTCCTGCTAGAGGATGCTCAGCTGATTCACAGCTAGTCTTGTGCTCCTGGTGTATCTGTACCATCTGTAGGAAGAGCTGCTGTACCAGACCTGGACTCAAGCCACTTGCAACCAAAGTTCAAATTCAGCTTGTTCTGTGTTGTCTCCCAAGGCTGGATCCCCTTGGAGCACTGTAGGACCTGTTTTACAATACCAACTGCAGTGCTATTTGAGAGAAGGTGTGTCTACTGATGATCTGATTTATAGTGGCTACTTTTAGCCAGTTCCTTAATGGGTTTTAGGTGCTTCACCTGTTTTATTGGCCTGAACCCCCCATCTCATAGTGTTGCATGTCCATAAATACAGATTTTTTCCCCTCATCTGATTGTACTTTGTACTTATTAATAGTGTAGGAAGAGAAGGGCTTTGACTTTCCATAGACCCAGATGGACCATTCCCAACCCAACCTGCTTTAAAACCCCTGATGCTGCAGGTTCCACATCCATGTCTCTGTTGAGCTTTCCTCTTCGGAGCCTCTGCCTGTTCTTGGACTGTTATTTACCATTACCATTACCATTCTTAGACAGTCATTTACCCTTGGTTTGCCTCACACAAGATCCCTCCTGTGGTTTCTGCACTCAATCAGATCCCCGGTGACAGTGGCCCTGGAACACAGGGCAGTGATTCCCTTGAGGGATGTCCACTGTGTCCATGCGGCTCCCAACCTGCTCCAGAGCATCTCCAGGTGAAGCAGGCCATGGCAAGAGGGCTCTCCTGGGAGCTTCTTCAGCCCAAGCACTGGTGGTCCTGTACAGGGTGCTGAGGAACCCCAGTGCTGGATGCAGGGTGCCGTAGGGTGGTAACACATCATCCCATGGCTCCTCCATGGAACCTGTGCGGATAACAGAGCGGAGGTGTGCACAAGCCTGCCTTCCCTTTGTGGCATGGAGCTTACCAGGTGAGGGGATGCCGTTAGCATCGGTGTTCATCCCTTTGGATACTGAGGGGATGCTGTTGGAGTCGGTGTGTTCATCCCTTTGGATACTGAGGGGATGCCGTTGGAGTCGGTGTGTTCATCCCTTTGGATACTGAGGGGATGCTGTTGGAGTCGGTGTGTTCATCCCGTTGGACTGAGGGGACGCCGTTGGAGTCGGTGTGTTCATCCCTTTGGATACTGAGGGGACGCCGTTGGAGTCGGTGTGTTCATCCCTTTGGATACTGAGGGGACGCCGTTGGAGTCGGTGTGTTCATCCCTTTGGATACTGAGGGGACGCCGTTGGAGTCGGTGTGTTCATCCCTATGGATACTGAGAGGACGCCGTTGGAGTCGGTGTGTTCATCCCTTTGGATACTGAGGGGACGCCGTTGGAGTCGGTGTGTTCATCCCTTTGGATACTGAGGGGACGCCGTTGGAGTCGGTGTGTTCATCCCTTTGGATACTGAGGGGACGCCGTTGGAGTCGGTGTGTTCATCCCTTTGGATACTGAGGGGACGCCGTTAGAGTCGGTGTGTTCATCCCTTTGGATACTGAGGGGACGCCGTTGGAGTCGGTGTGTTCATCCCTTTGGATACTGAGGGGACGCCGTTGGAGTCGGTGTGTTCATCCCTTTGGATACTGAGGGGACGCCGTTGGAGTCGGTGTGTTCATCCCTTTGGATACTGAGGGGACGCCGTTAGAGTCGGTGTGTTCATCCCTTTGGATACTGAGGGGACGCCGTTAGAGTCGGTGTGTTCATCCCTTTGGATACTGAGGGGACGCCGTTGGAGTCGGTGTGTTCATCCCTTTGGATACTGAGGGGACGCCGTTAGAGTCGGTGTGTTCCTCCCTTTGGATACTGAGGGCTGCAGTGAATCCAACCTTGAATCAGCGAGGGATGCGGGGCTAACCGGGAGAGGCGGTGCTTCCGGTCACTCCCGGGCTGTAACCGGTGTCGTGCACTGTGGGATTTCGGGACACCGCATCCCCATCCCCATCCCGATCCCAATCCCGATCCCGATCTCTATCCCGTTCCCTCCCCTCAGCACAGGGCACAAGATGGCGCTGAGGGACGAGGCGCTCTCTGGTGATGCGGGCCGGGGCAGCCCTCGAGCGCCCTCTGCCGGCCGGGCGGCTCGCTCCCGCTTCCCCGCAGACAAAAGGCGGTGGCGGCGGCGCCGGCCCCTCCCTCCCTGCGCGGCGCGCAACTGCGCATGCGCGGGGGAGCCCGCTCCTCGGTAGTGGTGGTGCTGACGGGGGGGGGGGTGTGTTACGATGCGCGCGGCGCATGCGCGCTCCCGCGCCGGCTCGGCGAAGGTTCCGGAGCTCGCGCGCGCCCCCGCCCCGCCCGCGCCGCCGCCGCCGCTGTCACCGCCGCCCGGCTCCGGTGCGGACTCCCCCTGCGCGGCAGGTACGGGCTGGGCGGCGGGAGGAACGGAGCTGGAGGGGGTGTGCGGGTGCTGCGGGCACGGGCACCCGCTGTGCCCCGCTGTCCCCGCACCCAGAGCGTGAAGCGGGTGAAAAGGGGTAAAACCCGCACTAAACCGCCCCAAACGTGGCTGTTTCAGCCCCAAAACCGCCGCGAAGGGGCGTGTCAGCCGTGGTGCTGCTGCAGCAGAGCGAGGGGCGGCCCCTGCGGCAGCGCGGCCGCGGCTGCAGGTGCGCGGCGGGGCGGGATGGGGCAGTTAAGGGCGGTTTTTTTTCGCGTTCCTCGCCCGTTTTCGCCGTTTTCCTGCCCCGGTGCGTGCGGCGGGCGCGGCCGGGGCTGTGGCGGCGGGGGGCTGCGGCAGGAGGGCGGGCAGCGCCTTCCCGCCCCGGCGCGGTGCCATCTTCTGCAGCCGCCCTCGGGAGGGGGGGGGGGCGCGGGGCGGTTGTAATTAGCAACGATCAGTTAATCAATAGTAAGAAATCATGAGGAAAAGGTGGCTTAGAAACGGGAGCTGTCCGCGCCCTGCCCCACATTTTGGGGGTGGAAGCGTTATGGAGGTTGTGGCACCCCCGTGGTGCCCTGCTTTGTGCATCCGCAGGGGAAGGGGTGCTGGTGTTTAACGTTAACGGTGGGTCCCTGCCCTGCTGAGCCCCGGGGTCTTTCCCTTTCTTTCCCCATGGGGTTGGGGATGCCGGTGCCCCATGGGGTTGGCACTGGGGTGGTGGTACCCGGTGTAGATGGAGGTGTTGGCAGGTCCTCGGTGTGCCTTATACCTCACCAGCATCCCCGTGTCATGATGAAACTGCCCCTCTTGTCCCTGTCATCAGCCTCTTTCCATGCTGCTGTTCATTCTTGTCCCAAAATCACCCCAGGCGGGCCGTGGGGCTGGCCCCGCTCTGGGCTTTGCCCTTATTCCCTTCAGTTGCTGGGTGTTTCTTTGTTTTAAATCTAACTTCACCATGTGGAAAGGGAAGTTTTCTCACCAGGTGTTTCCAGGCTCGCTGCGTGGCATCCCCCTGCCTTGGAGCAGTTAAAGCCGTGAGGAGCAGGAGCAGCTCGTTGCAGGTGAGGGATGGAGATTGCTGCCTGCATCCCTGTCAGCCCAGGGAAGGTTGGTCTGAGCCCTAGAGATGCAATCCCGTTTGTTCGCAGAGGGAAGCTGCCATCACTTTAAAGGGAGTTTCTCCTTCCATTTGCTGGTGGTACCACCACGCGAGGTGCAGCTCCATTTGCAGCGAGGGGCTGGTCTTGCTTAGAAACGGTGTGGCTGGAAGGAGCTGCTGAGATGAGCTCAGCTGTCACTCCAGCTCTTGCTGTGCCGCGTGTTCCTGAGCTGCCCTGCCTTTATCCGGGTGGGTCTGGGCACATGTCGAGCGTGTGTCTGAATGAGTGGAACAAAATTCACTACTGAGAAGCATTAATGGGGTGTGTTGAGCAATGGCTGCCCTCTTACAGGCGATGAAGGGGTTTTACCTTTGCTGCCTCACATCTCACATCTGGAGTGTTTAATGGCTTTCCCTCTGCAGGTCAGGTTTTTTGCCTGTTTTCTCAATCATAAGAGGTCTCCATTGGGCATTTACAAGCGAAGCCTGAGGGAAGGAAAATGAAAATCTCATTCTCTCTATAAATGAGAAATAGTCAAACCCAGATAGAATCATGGAATGACTCGCAAAGGACCTTAAAGCTCATCCAGTTCCACCCCTTGCCACAGGCAGGGACACCTTCCATTAGAGCAGCTTGCTCCAGCCTGGCCTTGAACACTGCCAGGGATGGGACAACCACTTTGTTCTCTCTTGATATGCAAAATGCTTGTGTTTACCCCAAGATACATAACTTAAGGAGGAAGGCAAGGTGCTGGCTGACTTACCTGCAGTGCACAGAGGTTTCCAGGCAGGTAATTCACACCTGATACCAGTATTGCATTGTCTCATTCATGCTCTAGATAGAGGAATGCTGTTTGAAAAGGGGTGTGTGGCTGTGGCATGCTTTCCGGTGCACCCCCCAGTATTAGCAGAGGTATCTCATGATGCTGAATGCTCTTGGAAATGAAGGCTTGTGTTCAGAGTTTTGGAATTACAATGTATGTGGGGTTGTTGTTTGAGACCCGTCTCTTGTGTTCTAGGGAAATGGAATGCTTGTCCCACAGGCTGGGTGCTTGGGTCTCCATCCTCCATAAGGCTTGAGTGCAGCATCAGAAGGTATTAGGACAGTTGGGTCTTGAACATACAGAGCTTGAAATGAAGCACTCTGGTGGTTTGAAAGGTTATTGGGCCATTACTGGGCACATGGAGGTGTCCAGTGCTGTGGGTCTTGTCTTCATCATGCACAGCCAGGAGCTGATCCTTGAGAAACCTGAACTAAGCCAGCTCTGCTTGTGTTAATGAGTGAAAGTGCAGAGCATGGCTGTTACCATCTGAAGCCTTAAAATGAAAGCCAGAGAGGCCCATATGGTCAGCCCTGCTCTGGAGCAGCTTGCTGCTGATCTGCAGCGTTCAGTGAACTTGTTGCAAAGGTCCCATCTGATGTGAACATGAAGCAGATCAAGGTGGTGTGGTGACTGCCTGGGAGGGCAAGGCTGTTTGCTGCTCTGGAAGGGGCAGGTGGCATCACAGATAAGATATGGACCTTTATCCTTCATCAGCTGGGATTAGCCAAGATGAGGACAGAAGCAACAGGACCTCTGTGTGCCCTATGGGGAGGAGGTGGGTCTGCTCCCTTCAGGTGACAAGGTGCAGGTCACAAGCGTGATAGCATGGGGTTTGTGTCTCTCCCTCCCTCATCACTTGCCCTTTTCAAGGTCTATGTCAAGTATTTACAGGTCAGGCTTCTAATGTAGTCTTCCCCACCCTGCATCTCTCTCACCTTCCAGCCTCTTTCTTCCCAAGGCATTTCATTCAGACTGCCCCATTCCCTCTGTGCTTAATAAACTGCACTTCCAGCAAGACCCAGTAAACGTGTTTATCTGTCCTGAACAAGGATGCTGCAGCGTTGTCATTTCCTTCCCAAAAGCCATGGGGAAGTATGTTCCCTGGCCAGGAGTGCAGTCCTCATAGGATAAAAGGGAGGGAAATGCTCTTTCCATGCTGAGGCTGAGCCTGGTGGATCTAGCCAGGGACACTTGGAGCATGCTGGTAAGGTGGGTATCCTCATCTTCTGCCTTTCATGTTCCTCTGCTTCCTTTGAAAGAGCCCTGTTCTTCATTGCAGGCTTCATTGTGGATCTGGGTTGCAGCATTGTCTGAGTGTTTGGGTATCACCTTGTGCCTTGTGTATTTGCTGAGCAGTTCTCACTGTGTAATAGCAGGGAGCATAGCAAATTGCTCCTTGATGACATTTATATCTTCATTTGGAAGTTGGGCTTTGCAGCATTGTGGGGCTGTTAGAAATGGATGGGGAAAGCCATGTTCAAAATGCTTTTAAGATGGGGTGTCTGCTGCTTCCTCTGAAAGCCTGCATCCATCAGCACAGGAGGAACAAACCATCCTGACACATCTAGTGGAACTGCTTTGCCTGTCGGGATCTCTTGAGTACTGCTGTTTGAGATGCAGGTGCTGGGTGTGCCCATGTCCAGACTTCCACACAAATCCCTTTTGGCTTGCAAAGCATGCCAAATGGGATCATGAAGCAATGTCTGAGGGTGGTCCTTACCCCTTTTTCCCCAGTAGGAATGTTATTCAAAACCTGGAGGAAAGCTGTTGGGTTTGTCTTGAGCAGAATAAACTACTGCCAGTCCAGCGTGCTGATGAGGTTGGCTGTGGTTGTGTCTTTGGAGTGGGTGCTGCTAGTCTGGCTGTAGCAGTGCTCTGACACTTGATGAATTAGGCAAGAAAGAATCAGGGTGCTGGCTTCCACCCAGCTCCCAGTATCTTCCACTTTGCTTAGCCTGCTGGCTGGGCAGGTCAGTGGGCTAGTGGGTTAGCTTCTTTCTTTCTAGGCTGTGTGCTAGCTGGTCATAGGTGTGGGGCTGGATTGAGAGGTGGAAACTTGTACTGAAGTGCCCTGGACTTGTGGTAGACTCATGGGCCCTTCATCTGGGTGGTGGTGAGAGTGTGTACGGTGTGTTTGGCACATGGCACAGGTTTAGGAGGTTGTGGCTCTGCATACAGGTAAAGCAACCAGCCCCTGAACAACAGGGTCTGTGTTATGCTTTCTGGGTGTATGGCTTGCTCTAAGGTCTGTGAAAAAGCACTGTGAGCCCTTTCTTGCCAAGCGGAATGGGTGCCTCTGGCTGTATTAGGACAGCTGAGACTGTTAAATCCAGGATGGTGTGTGCCTGCCCCATAGCCAATCCAGGATGTGTGCCTGCCCCATAGCCAAGTGGAGGGGGAGCCCCATCCTGGCTATTCCCAGCCTCTGTTCAGAGAAGCTCCAGCTGATGTCTTGGGAGGAGGACAGAAGCTCTCAGGTCTCTCACTAGTGCTGCATTGGAGCTGGGCGGGCTTTCTAGGTTTTTCTGCCCATCTGCTCTAAATCTCTGCTTTCTCTCTCAGGAGCTTTGCTTGCTTAACAATAGGGTTTAGACCCCAGTGGTGGGCTTGTGTGGTGTCTGGGGCTCACCCCAAGGCCATGGCCTTGCTGGTGGTGGGATGCTCATCAATGAAGCAGGCAGTGCCCTAGTGCACGGGTTGCCAGCAGAGCAGTGCAGCGATGTTCCCACTCATCCTGAACTCCCTGGGAAGGGATTTAGAGTGAGTGATCCTGGGTAGAGGTCAGTGGGCTGTTTGGTGTCAGGCAGCCCTGCCAAATCCTTGCAGGGCACCCTCAGCTGTGCCAAGGCTGCAGCCCTTGGTTTGGATCACTGCTCCTTCTTGGAGTATCTGCTAGGTGCAGCATTGCTCACACCTGGCTTTTCAGCACAACCAGCCCTCAATCCCAAGCTGTCTTGGCAGATCACCCCAAGATGTGGTGGAGAGAGCAGAGAATTGTGGCCCTTTAGGTAACCCCTTTTGTGGCTTTTAAGGTGGACCCAGTTCTGCTCTGAGGGACCTGAATCTCTTCTTGCAGCAGGATGAGTATCCTCCATCTGCGAGTCAGAGCTTTGTTTCACACTGAAATCTGCTGGTAGTAGGCTGTTATTTAAAGTGCCTGTGGAAGCATATGCAGTTTACACTGGAATCTGGAGGCTGGAGTATCTGTGCCTTGAGACTTGAGTGGAATTTCTTTGCAAGTCTAATGAGCCCTTCATGCTCTTTAGAGATCAATCCACCGATTCTTCCCCTTTCCCTTCCAAGCTGTCCCCTCAGTAAGAGCAGTCATTACATGTGGTGTGGCTCCTGATTTCAGTGTCTTGTCTTTAAATATCCAAGCAAAGGCAGCACCAGGGGATACCTTCTGTTAAGCTAAAGGGCTTATTGCTGCAATTGGGCTAATTATTCCCATCTTTTCAGCCTCCCCACTGTACCTGCCCTGCCCTCTCTTCCTAGACCAGGTACTGCTATTTGTCCATCCTCTGTGCCTTCCCTCCGTGCTCTTCTCGCCTTGCTGCAGAGTGCTTGTAGGATTGCATCCTCTGTGTTCAGGGACCGTGGATCAGGTGGGTCTGTCCTGTCTGGCTGGTCAGTGTGTGTTACTGCAGGTGACTGCAGGTCTGCTGGCTGAGGGTGCTCTGAGGCACAGGGAGAGGACAGCGCCTGATGGAGGTCATTGCAGGATGATGTCTAAGGGCCAGGTTATACTAGTTCATAGGAAGAAGGACTGTATTAAACCTTCAACACTTACAAGGGGTTTCATCACCTCTCCTGTATTCATGCCTTTGAATACTGCGTGTGTGACTTTGCCATGGGCTGCAGTTGCAGGACCTTCTGCCACTCGTCAGCATTTCACTTTATGGCTCCCTGTCAGCTCCTGTCCCAGAGTGTCTGCCTGGAAGTGCCTGGTGTAATTTCAGATGGATTTCATCATGTCACTTGCTGCAGAATGAAATTCCTTGAGGTGCTGGTAAATGGCTAAAAAAAAAAAGCCTCTAAACAAGCCTCTACCCTGATCCTTGAACACGTCCGGCTCAGAATGTGCACATTTGTTCAGTGGTGAAATCCTTCCCTTTGCAGGAAGCATTTAATCTGTGAT